GTCTTCCTCTGTTCCTAGTGTGTTTGGGGTGAAGCTGTTCTTACTGCTGTAGGTTTGATTAATACAATTCCATCTCTCTCATATTTCAGGTTTTTCTCCTTCGAAAAGTTGTATGGGTATGCCCCTGATTATTCTTCCCTATAAGTTTTTGGTTGTACTTGTTTGTTCTTCGTCCTCATGTAGAACGCAGCAAGTTGTCCTCTCGATCTGTTATTTGTGTCTTTCTTGGTTATGGTGAGGTAAAAAGGGGTATCGTTGTTTTGATCCAATAACTCAGAAACTTTATGTGTCTCGTCAGTTTGTTTTTCTTGAGCATATACCTTTCTTTTCTATCCTCCATACTATACCTTGACTAGATCTGATCTAATTCGTATAGATCCTTTTTCTGAGGATTCTGATAGTTTGTCATCTCAGGTTCCTAGTACTGATCATTCTGCAGGTACTGACACTTTACTCCAGCACACCTGAAGCTCCTCTTCTCTATGGTCACTCAAGCTTCGTTGAGATTGTGGATCCACCTCTACGTCAATCATACGCATTCGTAAGTCCACAAAGTTACCAGATTTGCTTATTCTTGTTATTCTTCATCTTTTGCTTCTTTTTTAGCTTCTATTCATTGTCTCTCTGAGCCCTCTTCCTATAAGAGGCAATTCTTGATCCTCTTTGGCAGCAAGCTATGGAGAGGAACTTTCTGCTTGCATAAGAAAGGTACTTGGGATTGGTTCCTCTACTCCTGGTAAGAATGTTGTTGGTTGTCGTGGGTGTATAAGATCAAGCTAATTCTGATGGATCTATTGAGCGATACAAAGCTAGGTTGGTTGCAAAAGGGTACTCTCAACAGTATGGTATGGATTATGAGGAGACATTTGCTCCTGTTGCAAAATGACTACTATTCGTACTCATTGCAGTAGCTTCAGTTCGTCAGTGGCATATCTATCAACTTGAGTTAAAATGCATTCTTGAATGGAGATCTCAAGAAGAAGTTTATATGGCGCCCCCTCCTGGTGTTTCACATGATTCTGGGTATGTTGCAAGCTGAAGAAAGCGTTATATGGTCTTAAACAAGCACCTCGTGCTGGTTTGAGAAATTTTCTATGTGATCTCTTCCCTTGGATTTGCTTCTAGTAGTCATGATTCTGCTCTTTTTTTAAGTGCACTGATGTAGGTCGTATCATTCTGTCTTTATATGTTGATGACATGATTACTGGTGATGATATTGATGGTATTTCAGTTTGAAGACAAAGTTAGCTCAACAGTTTGAAATGAAGGATTTGGGTTCTCTACGATTTTCTTGGGTATTGAGGTAGCCTACTCACCTAGAGGTTATCTTCTCTCTCAGTCGAATATGTTGCAGATATTCTTGAACGGGCTAGACTTACTGATAATAGACTGTCGATACTCCGATTGAGGTTAATGCAAAATATTCTTCTTCTGATGGTTTAAATTTGTCAGATCCTACTTTATACCGTACTGTTGTTGGGAGTTTGGTATATCTCACTATTACTCGTCCAGATATTGCATATGCTGTTCATGTTGTTAGCCAGTTTGTTGCTTCTCCTACTACAGTTCATTGGGCAGCTGTTCTTCGTATTTTGCGGTATCTTCGGGGTAAGTCTTTCAGAGTCTTTTACTTCCATCCACCTCTTCTGCTGGCTGCGTGCATACCTCTGACTGTGATCATGGCAGTGATCCCACAGATCGAAGTCTGTTACTGGTTCGTATCATCTTTTTGGGTGATTCTCTTATTTCTTGGAAGAGCAAGAAACAATCCATTGTTTCTCAATCTTCAACCGAAGCGAATATGTGCTATGGCATCTACTACCAAAGAGATTGTTTGGTTACGTTGGTTACTTACAGATATGGCGTTTCTTTTTCTCATCCCACTCCTATGTATGTGACAACCAGAGTTCTATTCAGATTGCTCACAACTCGGTTTTCATGACGAACTAAGCACATTGAGATCGATTGTCACCTTACTCGTCATCATCTCAAGCATGGCACCATTACCTTGCCCTTTGTTTCTTCTTCTTTGCAGATTGCAGATTTCTTTACCAAGTCATTCTATTTCCCGTTTTCGTTTTCTAGTTGGCAAACTCTCGATGCTTGTACCGCCGCACGCCATCGTGGAGTTTGAGGGAGTATTCTTTTTTGTTTTCCACTCTCTTCTAAACCTTCATTTCTTTCCCATCAACTCCTTCATTCCTCCTCTTTCCTTTCTTTCTTCTCTTCTTAATCTTCTTCTTCCTTTCTTTTTTCTTCTCCTCTCCTTTCTTTCCCACCTGGCCACTGCTTTGGCCCACGCGAAGCCAAATCTGGTCGCCACAAGGCCTCCACGTGATGGTCACATCTGGCTTCTTTCTTATACTTCTTTTAAGGTCATGAGGGAGCAAACTGAAAAAAAAAAAAAAAAAAAAAGGGATACTCATCAATGTACGCCGGCGGCGACGTCGCTCCAACCCGCGATTGGGTTGGCAACGATTTTGGCTGCGGGTTGCGACGCCTCTGCCCAAATAGCCGCCAACCCAAGCGCGCTCTCTTCCGTGCACATATTTCTTATATTTTGTGTTTTATGAATTTGTGGGTTTGTGGGGTTGGTAGATGTGTGTATTTGCTTGATTAATGGAGGCTTTGTAACGATGGGAGAGACGGTGATAGATAGGGGTGGAGGATAGGCCAATGGGTGCATTGTGGAGGTGGTGTGGTCTGGTTGAGGTGTCAACGACTCAGGCCCTACGCTTATCCACACTTTGAATTTTAAATTTTGAATTTTGACGCATACTATTAGTTGACCATCCTAACTTTACTTATAACATACTTTTTGACCATCCTAGTCTTCTTTATAATGAAATTTATTAACGGATATGTGTTGTGCCGTTGTAAAATGCCTTTTTGAAACATTTTAGGTGAAAATGTGTCATTAAACCAAACCTTGGGTGGGAAAAAAGTCGTCTACACTAAAAGAATGGCCACACTGAGCCGTGCCTCAAGCTCCACTAACCCAAACTCGTTTCGTTGGGCCAATTCCCATCTGACCCGACTTTGGACATACCATTTGGCCCAGATATCTCAATTGTCTACTAAAAATGTTCTTAAAAAAGACAGAAAAGAAAAGAACCACAACGACAATTTTAAAGGTTTAATGGCTGATCCTTATTAAGTTTCTCTTTACATCAAAATACAATTAATATTTCATAAATTGTTGCCTGTTCTGTGACGATTAAGCAATAAGCAGCATGGTGTTCATTTCAGTATTCAATTAACAAGAAAGAATTTGACCCTCAAATGGATAAACAAACATAAAATGAATCAACTTACAATAATCTCACATGCATGCTTTCTTCTGTCTCATCTCAGCTCTCTTTTAATCTTGGAGATGGAGATGCCTCTTCCTTGTCTTGCCACAAAAATGACACATTCATATCCAACATTATCTATAACTAAAACACTGGCTGTGGTTGAGTTTAAATTCAACTGGTGGCCACTGTTTTAAATTTTTAATTCATGGGATCCTTTTATTTGATTGAAATTAAGTGGTTTTATGGATTTTGACAAGTGTTACCAAGCTGGTGAGCTTTGAGCTTTTGATGAAAACGGAAATTCAAAAGTTTTATCATAATCGACTTCACTTTACTTTACCTACCCACTCTCATTTATAATTTTAAACTCCGATAATTTTATTAGACCCTCAAAACTCAGTCAATTCCTATATTTCCCGATTATATTATAGTAGATCTTTGATTCTTTATTAAGATAACAAACAAACAATGTTATATCCATGAACTCATATGAAGACAAAAATAAAAAACTACAAAACCTTTGAGGTTAGGCATATAAGTATAGTGGATACAACAATCTTTATTCGGAATTATCTTTGGGTTGTCTCAGTAAAGACAAATGATTCAACATATTTCTTGATTCAAGTCTACCTAGGTACTAATAAGGTGATCACTGAGGAATTTTCCATCCTTCACTTTAGGCTCCAAGGTTAGTTTGAGGTGCATATAACTGGTTCAGATCCTCCCAAACTAAAAAAAACCTTCACCATATTTAAATTTGATGACAATTTGAAAAAAAAAAAAAAAAAAAAAAAAAGTTTGATGAAGAGAGGAAGAAGGATTAATTGCCTCTAGGTCTGAGTGATCTCGATAAAAACTCTTGTGTGTATTACTCAAGAGATTTCAAATTCGATTCCCTTCTAGGTTGTTCGACAAGACTCTTGGGTGTATTCCTTAAGAGGTCTTAGTTAAAGTCCCTCCTCGATTATTATAGGGATATTTACTTGATTTTTTACTTCAAATATTTTAAGGTTCTGAAAATTTGTTTAAACGTGCGTAAGCTGGTCTGAACTCCCTCATGGTAAGGAGAGCAAAAAAGATATATATATATATAATATATATATATATATATAATATATATATAAAAAAGGATAGGAGACATAGTTTTGGTCCCATCATAACGAAAATTGTTGCCAAAAAAAAAAAATGAAGATTTGGAATTTAGGTTGAAACATGCATTCCTAACCCACCCTTTGATTCTCTCATCAAAATCTTTTTCCTTACTTAACCTCTGTGAAGGGACTCTCTTCCTGCTTTGGGTTTCTTTCTTTATGCATACTCGTTACGCTTACGCAACACCAGCACAAACTTCGAAACACATATCAAGACAACTCAATGCAAAAATTCACAAACACCTTACCTGATCCATGCTATCATGGAGGGTTTCAATTCACTTGGCTTTTATCAAATTCATTCATCCTTTTCCTAATATATTACATTTCCTAATAATATCCTAAGATTTCTCATATCAAATGTTGTATAATTTTACTAATAATTTTATACATAATCCGATTCATCAAGTGAAATGTGCAATAAATTAAGTTTATTATATCTATTTTAAGCTGAAATTTTATAATTATTGGAAAATTTTTGATTCAAGGGGAAAAAAAACCAATGAAATGGGATAATGGCATTTGTTTAAGAGAGAATTAGTCCTCCTGGTTTGAATTGGGGGGCCTTCTTCTCCAGGGAAAAGGAAAAAAAAAAAAAATGAAATGAAATAAAAATAATATATGTAAACGAGCCCTCCAATTGTATCAAATTTCCGAGAGAGTGAAGATCATCTTCTATCTTTTATCTTCGGCTAATTTCTTGTAGGTGAATAAAGAAATGGCGGTGTTTGTGTTTGTGTTTGTCCGTTTCTATTGATTATAATAAAATTTTGACATCTCTCCTCACACGTTCTCACTTTACTGTGTCGTGTGCGCGTTTTCTTGGGACATGAGCCTTTGTTTTTGTGCAGAGACAATACCCATCCATGCACACACATCGATTCTCAATATCTTCTCTCTCTTTCTCTCTTGAAACCAACCCCCATTTTTGTTTATAGGGTTTTCTTTTTCTTCGAATCCTTTGCCACTCGTGTTTTCTTTTTGGAGCCTTGATCTTGTGTCCTGAAAAGCTGCAATTTTTCTTTGAAAATCCCACAACACCTTCTCTCTCTTTAATTGTGAACAACGAAAAGAATACAAAGGAGATAAAGAAACCAAGAAGAAGCTGTTTCGTGATCAGACCAAAATGTCCCAAACTTTTGCTTCAATCTGAGGCTAGATTTGGGACCTTTCATATTTTTCTAATCTTTGCTTGTTAATTGGGTTTCTTTTGTTCTTTTTGAAATTCTAGTCTAATCATTCAATAAACCAAATTCCCTCGAAGCATAGAATTTTTCTTTGCTTGTTCTAGGGTTTGTCTTTTGTTCGTTGTTTAATATGGATTATTCATGCGATTACCCTCTTAACAGCTACAAATTTGAAATCAAAGAATACCCATTTGGCCATTTTCACCAAGAATTGCCTCTCTTCGTCAGCCATGTGGTTCCAGTCATTTTTAGTTTCTTTTAAGAATTTTGTCAAATCTCTGTTCTGCTCATTTCTTTCTCTGTTGTATCTTCCAATTTCGGTTGTCAAAAAAATGGGTTGTGTTCATGGAAAGTGTTGCAGTCGCTACCCGTCATCATCAGACGGTGATTCTCGTCCTGAAGTGAGTCCGTACAGTTTCCATGGCAAGCACGTGATTGCACAAAGAACAATAGAGTCTGCTCCTGTTCCTTCACATAACTACAAATTAGAGTACTCTTTTTTGACACAACGTGGGTACTATCCGGACTCGCCTGATAAGGAAAACCAAGACAGTTTCTGCATCAAAACGCAAGTTCAAGGTAACCCAAATGTTCATTTCTTTGGTGTATTTGATGGGCATGGTCAATATGGCACCCAATGTTCAAATTTTGTTCAGCAAAAATTGATTGAGGTATTGGAAAATGAACCCTTGTTGTTGGATGATCCTGTTAAAGCTTATAATGCAGCATTTCAAACGGTAAATAATGAGTTACATATGAGTGAAATTGATGATACAATGAGTGGTACTACTGCAATTACAGTTCTTCTTATTGGGGATAAAATATATGTTGCTAATGTGGGTGATTCGAGGGCAGTGATTGCTGTCAAAGATGGGAATAGAATTGTTGCTGAGAGCTTGTCTCATGATCAAACACCATTTAGGAAAGATGAGTGCGAGAGGGTGAAGCTTTGTGGGGCAAGGGTTTTGAGTGTTGATCAGGTGGAAGGGCTTAAGGACCCAAATATTCAGACATGGGGTGATGAAGAGAGTGAAGGGGGTGATCCTCCCAGGTTGTGGGTTCAGAACGGGATGTATCCGGGGACGGCATTTACACGAAGTGTTGGAGATAGTACTGCTGAGAAGATTGGTGTAGTTGCAGTTCCTGAGATTGCGGTGGTTCAGCTTACTTCCAATCATTCATTCTTTGTTGTTGCGAGTGATGGAGTTTTTGAGTTCCTTTCAAGCCAAGCTGTTGTCGATATGGTATGATACTTAATATCTAAGTAGACTAATGACACTCATGTACATCTTGTTTATTTGGTTTACTTTGTCGCTATTCATTTCAACGTGATTGAATTATTGTCGTTATGGTGAAACTTTGAATTCATTGAGGATTGTATTATCTGCTATGAAGCATGATATTCTAATGATGATATTAAGTAGACAATGATACTCAGATATGTCTTGTTTATTTGGTGCTATTCATTTCAGCATGATTGAATTATGTTGTTATGGTGAAACTTTAAATTCATTGAGGATTGTATCATCTGCTATGAAACATGATATTTAATGAAATCTTGCGGGTGCATGTATATAATTGGTGAAGTTGAAGTTGATTCATACCTCTCGATGAAGTTTGGCTTGTTTTTTTTGTTGCTCATGTTTGTTAAGCCGTATTCCGCTTTTATGTCACTGTTGGCACTCAGGCAGTATGAATGCAATTTGCTGACAGGTTGTGTGAAATAAAAATTTAAGCATACAAAAAAGAGAGAAAGAAAAAATATGATGACCCTTTTTCCTTGCTGTCATGAGTCTATTCTCAAATGAATGGTTTTGCATCCTGCATTGCACATATTGCGGTAGCCATCATTCCAATAACGAAATCAGCCGTTATGAAACTATGCATACAATTTTGTTTGTTTAGTTCATGACTTTATATGCACAGGTGAATATTAGGGGGCAATAGATGCTCAAGGTAGATGGAAACTTTCAAGGGCACTTGAGAGATTGAGATATAAGCAGCAAATGGTAAATTATGTAATTTTTTTTTTTTTTTTTTTTTTTTGTTACTGTTATAGCCCAGCCTCATACATAGCTCACTGAGTTACTTTCAGTGGCGTTTGAGAGTTGGAGATATTAGCAGAAATTGATAACTGTGTAATTTTATTTTATCTTTTTAGTTTATGTTTAAAATTTGGTTCGTGTTACACCCCAATCTCATACATGCATTAAACTGACTTACTTGCTGTGAAGTTCAAAATCGATGCAATTGGTTTTTTTTTAAAGTTGTAAAGTGATGAATTTTAGGAATTGGTATACCGCTAAGACCAGAGAATAGTGCACAAGTGTTCCAAGTTTTTATATACTCTAGTTAATTCTTTACTTTCAACATATTTCAACACTCTTAAAAAATTGCACATACCCTTTTTGATAAGGATCAGAGTAGATGGACAGAGTATTACCTCAGATGTGTTTGCTTATTTTATACAATCGTGTTCAATTGATATTGTATGTTTCTTTGAGTATTTCGGCCTCACTTAGATCAGCAATGTCTATTCCTGCTGCTGTTTGCAGGATACATTGACCTGTGGCATTGTGTCATTTAAGTGGATAAGGGTTCCATAGGCTAGCCTATTTGATTCAGTTCTATTTTTTGGAATTTGCTTAAATACTAGATTGAAATTAGCATCTTCAATATTTCTTTTCAGATATGGGAAGGTTCTTCCTGTTTGTCAACTTTATGCATAATATTTCTTTTATTTTTTACTTGATGAATTCTTGAATGTTATGTCCACTCTATCTAAATCTCAGTATTTTTTTTTTATCATTCTCTGAATTGGCTTTACTCTTTGCCCTGCGTTTGTTCCCCTAACATTTTTTTTTTTTTTTTTTTTTGTGTAGGCGGCGAAGTATACAGATCCTCGGGATGCTTGTTCTGCAATTGCTGGAGAATCATACAAACTGTGGTTGGAGCATGAAAATCGGACAGATGATATCACAATTATCATTGTCAACATTAAAGACTTTTCTAATGTATGTATGATATATAATTTCCTTTGCCTACGTATTTTCTACACGTTCTTGAGATCTTACCATAGGCTAAATCTATTACACTGATTCATTAGTAATGAAACATGTGGTGATTCCTAGGATCTACATTTTGTCAACATCCACTTTGGAGAACTATTTTACAAATTTAGCTTATTCAAATACCTAGTTTAGAGCCATATGTAAGTGTAACCTATGGATGTAATTGCTTGTCGTCTTTCAGCTAGGAAACTTAATAGATAGGAAACGAGAATTCATTTGAACTCTGCCTCATTTTCCTTTGCTCGTGCAACCATGCAAGTTTTGAATTTGATGCATGACTCAATAATAATTATTTCGACTCCATTTATTGGCTTGTAATTTAAAATATTTCTTTATATTGCTACAGTCAGGTGCTGGTTCTGCTGACACAAGTGGATACAATCGTAGGCCATCACTTCTGAAAAATGGAAAGGCTGGTTCTGACATGTCGACTCCTTCAGGGTCAGAATTTTTTCGCTCGGTAAGAAGTGATTTCTCAGACCTTCAGCGGACAGTTTCAATTACTGAAAATCAAGCTATTACTGTTTCATCTCTGACTCATCGAAAGCCTGTAGAATTGGTATTTGTCTTATGCTTGCTTTTTGAAGCATAATTTTATCTTTGTTGAAGTAGCTAAGCTATTATTTCTCTCCAATTCATTGCAGTGATCTGGATTGAAGGCTTTCAGAAGTTGCCTTGGATACTGTGTTTAATTTTGTTAAGTGGTACCTATCTATCCTTTTTAATTGATATGGTTTCTAAAATACAATATGTTGGAAGTGTCTGGAGAAGGGATACGTGCTTATCTTTTTGAATCTTTGCCCAAAATTATGATTTAGTAAAAATCTACTCAATGTTTATTGAAGTCTTTACGAATGTTGTAATTTTTGGCTGGTATCAGGATGTCGACTTCAGGCAGCAGAAGCCATTTGTTCTGCATATCTTCACTGATTCCAGGCTAGGATGTCTTAATGATGTTACGGGGAAACTGTTACTAACCAGTAACCACACAAGATGCTACTAGGAGAACAAAATGCTCTCCTCATAGCTGTAACCTGCTGATTAAGAGATAGAAGCGAAATGAAAAGTTCGAAGAGGCTTTGGGCAGATAGAACAGTTGGTAGTTGATGATCGTGATGTGAGGAGATGTGAAATCGAAGATATGTTTCATTATGGCTGTAAAGTTGTTTGGGATGTTAGCTTTAAAGTTAAATTATATGTAAACCTCACTTGTGATCATCTCACCAACATGATGAACATGGAATGAGAGATTTAACTTCCAGAGGTATATATGATTGTTAACAGCATTTCCTTGGCAATGGCGTATATAATATTCATGTGATGATATATCAGTTTGAATGATGATTGGTTTTGCCTCTCATTCAATATGTTAAAAGGTTTACAGCTTTTGAATGCCCTGGGCCTGGCTCGAGTCTTGTCCATGATGTTTCCTCAATACAAGACAAATTTGTGGGGTTTCAAGACCCACATGCCTTGGCCTCTTTGAGCTTACTTTTCATTACTGTCGTCAGCAACACAGCATGTAAAATTGTCAATCCAATACCTTGAGCCTCTGCTACCTGCGATAGCCAACTAAAAGACCGATCCATATATAATATGAAGCTGCAATAACAAATAAATCTTTTCCACACCCAAGTATAAATTTGGTTTTCTCATATTATTAAAAATTGAGGTTTACCATGGATGATTTATATGTAGTCAAATATGGGTGACTGACTAACTCCTGCTTGAGTGAACTGAATGGCTCAAGCTTGTAAAGACAAAAATTTATTAATATTTCTGCTCATGAAGCTTCCAAAAGACCAAATCATAGCATTTAGGGCTTCACATATGGCGATGAGTAATTTAGTAGTTCCTTTGCAGTTCGCACCTTAAAATTACACGTTCCCTATTTGGCAGATGAATTTCTGCAGAAAACAGTCTAATTTAATGCAAATGATTTATAAACTTGAAGAAGTACAAAGATCTTATTATATCCTTATTGTACATTAAAAAAAAAAATCGGAATGATGCTACAAAGACAGACTCTCCTTCTCAAAATTATATTTAACAACTGTACAAAATTCTTCCACAAAGCAATTAGCATATCAGAAAAAAACGGACAGCTTCTTGTCATTTGTGTTCTGCAGCAAGTAGCATCGCTCAAACAAATTGCTTAAATTTTCGGTTTCCCTCGTCACATTTTTGGACAACATTATTTTACTAGCTGTGTTGTTTAATTTACTTGTGTCAGAAACATCATCTGCCGCGACGTATTTATCATTCTGTGAGGAATTTCTTTCATCCTCTTCTAAGTTAATTATGTTAGCAGGTTCTTGAACTTCACCATTTAACGCTACCCCTGGTAAATGCCTCTGCACTTCTGGCTGAGAGTGAGTCCTCTGAGTCAAAAGAGGGCTGAAGCCACCTTCCAGTACTTCATCTAAAGACAGATGACTTAAGCTATAAGGCGGAGATAGAGTACCTTCAAATCCTAACTTATCCAGATTATCAGAAGCTGAAGCTGAAGCAGCAAAATGCTCCTCCAGAACATAAGCTGAAGATAAGGCCCCATTGGTTAGACTCATTAATCGCCAATTGAAAATCCGCCGGAAAATCACTACCCAGTTTGGAACCATGTAGTAGCTCAAGTTTTGGAGCTCAAGCCTCGTGCTTCTTTGTAGCATTATTGATGCCTCTTTTGTTGCCAGTGAAATTCCCATCATGTTACATGATTGTGTCAAATATCTAATCAAGCAACTTTCAAGTTGTGATCTCTGAATCTCAATCTCCTTGCCCATGTTAGAACCTCTGCTCAACCAGGATATATCATCAGGAAAAGCTGGAAGTTTTACGTTCTTCAATGAACACTCGAGTAATTCTATTCTTGTTGCAGAGCTCCATCCTAAGCTTGGCACAGACCAATTCTCCATGAAATATTCATCACCAGAATTATCCACCATTGCAATCTCAGGACAAGGCCAACTGGCAGGATTTGCTTTAGCAGCAGCCACAATTTCCTCCCGCGACCGATCTAAGGCTTCATTGAAAGCTGATATACAGTGGTTTGGACTCACTTCATGATCACTCAATTTGTTAAGCACCTCCAGAACAGAACCCAGGTGAGTCAGGATGAGTTCGCGTGTTTTAACACAACGAACAACAGGTTGTACAGGTGACTGATCTGCCAGCCACTCTAACCCTTCCCTTAGTTGCTCATCACTGAAAAATCCATCCGAGTAACCCTTTTGTTGGTTCCCAACAAGGAATTTAACCATAAAACTCTTAACCCTTGACTTATCAATGTCACGGAGGCCCAAACCATTGACTATAACAGCATAAGGATCTAAAACCTCTTCATTATTTGAGCTACTAAGGATCAGAAGAGGCAGGCAGGAACCGGAAGGTATTGACATCAAAAGATTATGGAGTTGAAATTTTTGGAGCTTCAATGGGATGCTTTCAGATACAAGAAACAGAACTGCACTTGCACCGGATACAGTATCATTTGGATGGTCAACTTTTGTCTCCTTAACAATTGAAAAGCAGCAGGTCAAACCAGAACCAGATTGGCTAGGAAGCCACTTCTTCCAAATTGAAAGGCCAGGAGATGAAACTACCAGATCATCATCATAATCTTTCCGAGGAGGCATAAGCTTTGAAAACAACCATGACTCTGCTGCAAAATGGGAAACCTGGGTTCTCTGCATGTGTTCATCCCGTTCTTGACTGTCCTGAGAACATAGAATAATTTTCCAGCACAGAAACTTGGCATCTCGGTTTCTTCTGCCAAGTATACCTGCTATCACATCTGAAACATTCAGCTTTGACCATGACCGTTCATGTTTCTCATATCTCTCCATCATGACATGATCAATATCAAACTCGCCACGTGTGAATGGTTGCTATACAGAAAAGAAAAAGCAAAGATCAAACAAAATAACTCAAGGTTGAGCAAAATAATCAGCAAGAACTTCGTTTTCCAGCTAAAATAAGCACGTTTCTCAACAAAAAGAAGATATTCAATAGCAGAAGGGACAAAAAAGCAAATTTTGTTTTGACCATTCCCATGTGGACTTCCCGAATTCAATCTTCAACAGACCATTAGCTCATTCTCATATGAAAAGACAATAATTCTATAACATTGAATATAACAATGATAAACAATTGCAAGTATATAAACAGATGCTCTGAAATAGCATGGCAGCAACAAAACTCAAATAGCTATCATATTGCACTGGGGAACTGAATAGGAGAAAAAAGTCAAAGACAATATATTTCTTCTTCATAAGGTGACATGCAAACATTTAATAATAGATAACTTGCTGAACTAATTTAGCAGCACATATCATAGAACGATACACAGTAACTAAGTGCACAAGCTTTAAACAAAGTTCACTTAACAAATTGTTGAGAGAGAAATAAGTCACTTCATTCCATTTTGTTCAACTGAAGCATGAGAAACAGTACACTGAGACACAAAAGAAGAGGCCATATTTTTTTCTAAAGTAAATTATAGATGCCAGAGGCAGAGAGAGAAAAGATGCCATGCATGAAACAATGAATTGAAGCAATTTTCTGGTCCGGCTATTTTGTTAAAATAAATAATCTATAACACTCAACCAAGAGGACCAATACTAAAAGGAGGTGAAATGGCTTACAACTTTGTTCTTTTGAATTGGTGGTCCCAATGACAATGAATTTAGTGCAGCATTTGCAGCTAGTTTCCTTTGTTCACGCAACTCCTTTTGCTTTGAAGAACGACGCCTCCATAACCTTGAAGGAGAGAAATTCAAGAGAAGTAAGATATGTGGTAGGTATGCGATTCTTAAACTTACAGTTTAAAGCTTTGAACAAGAAATCAAACCTTAAGATTAACTTGAGTTTTGCCAAAGCAACTTCTTCCTCTAAATAACTTGCCATAACTTCATCCTTTTCATTTTCCATGGCTTCATCTTTTTCACTTATCATAACTTCATCATTTTCCTTTTCTCGATGAGTAACAGAAGGTTCTTCATCTTCTAAGTTATTAGTAGCTACAATTTGAGGCAAAGTATTATCTACAGAATAATCATATCTTCTAAAACTGAGGGATCTATCTTGCTGAGATGTTCTTGGCACAGATTGGATAGGAAAAACATCCGTGAAAAAAGCAGTCCTATTCTCTGGAGACATTCTGAAAAAAGCATCGTCTTGTTTCTCCTCAGGTACAACTTCAGCTGGCTGGGGTTTAGGGGAAGTATGAGCCACTGAGAAACTCCAGGGCAAAGTACAGGCAGTAGTCACCTTGTGGTCATCTTGATTTTGTCGACCAACCATCGATGTCTCAATTAAGGGCGGCACCGGTCTGCCTTTTTTTGGGGATGAAATGGCTGCAGAATCAGACATTTCTTCATCAACTGCACGGACTGAAATTTTCCTTCTAACAGAAGGAATGGATGTTGTGTCATGCTTATGGATCTTATCCAGCTGAATTTCTTTTTTTGCTTCAATAGGCAACGATATAGCTTGAGTAGAAGCCAAAATATCCTCAACCATTGTTTTCGACCTTTTCGTGTGGACAAGTTTTGAACACTTGGTAGGATAGTCACTGTCACTATTGAGAAATTGGCCTTCCTTCACCATATATAGCTCCTCAAATTCCTTTATCAAAAACCCATGATACTCTAAAAGGCTTTCTATGTCCTCTTCCTAACAACCACCACCAAGCAAAGATATAAGACCACTATGAATTCACACAAAACGAATAAATATAGGATTTACTCGTGCCAAGGAAAGATACCTCCATACCAAGCCACCTCCCAACATGGGCAACAGGGAGACCTTGGTTATTCAGTAGACCAGAGTGTAGAGAAGCAAGCGCCTGGGTTCGTAACTGATCCAAACAGCACAAATACACGAGACAAAATTACTTGCATATCTGTATTTTTGTGCTCAACTTTATTCCAATTTCATTTTTTTAGAATAAAGTTCCTTATGTTAACATTTCATGATGAGTCCTCGCCTTTGTAGGCATCAAAGTCCAAGAATTTTTGGTTGCACCAAACATCAAACCAATGATATAACATATACAAGCCTTCCCTCCAAAAATACGTTTGTTAGCATAAAGAATGTGAACTTTCCATATTAATATTCAAGCACAAACTTAAATTTCACATATATGTACTCCATTATACAGCCCCAAAAATAATAACATTAAAAAAAAAAAATTTGTTTAAACACTCAAATCAAAATATTAGATGCAACATGGACAAAAGCACCAATGAGTTTAAGAGATATGCTTAATCATGGTAAACATCATCAACGCATAAATGCATGTAAGCAATAACCAAATGTTCAAAGCATGAATGATTGGTAGAAGAAACAAAATCCTAATTCATTACTACCACACAAGAATTTGTTTTTGGATTACCCTAATAGCTAATTACTATGAGAACTAAATACATGGAACATAAAGAAACTTTATGCTCTTTTGGAATCTTTAGGCTAAATTGAATGTGAACAAAAGATATATCTCCTCGTACCTTAGCAAAATGAGCATGCATTAGGCATGCTTGAAGATAACTAGCTTTCCTTGCAAGTCGAAAGAAGGCGATAAAATTACCCATTCTACAAGCTCTGAAGAAGCCAAAAAGTTTTATTATTAGACTACGTTTAACGCATAATCCACCAAATATAATTATAGTAATCCTATACATCCTAAATCTGATTCACAAGTTGTGATTTCAAGTGATGGGACAATGTTTTATAGGTATATATCACAGACCACATGATCACATAATCTACATTTACCACTAAAACAATATAGTATCACTTAAGATTCAAAACTTGAAATATAAACCTAGAATACATAACATTATTCATAAAAGTAAGGAGAAAAAACAACCTAGCAACGTCACGGGCAAATAATACTTCTGGTGTTTGTCTTATTTCTGGAGTCATCTTTGCTAGATCCAACGATAGCTCTGCTGGTTCAACCTAGCAGGATTTGCATATTTTCACATACAAAATTCAAATGAAATATGCAGAATTGAGTTGCCACAGCAGATGACTTACTTTGTACCCAGGATGTTTGTCCAATTTAAGAAGCGCATAATAACCTCGAAATTCTTTTTCCGTTGGCACATTTATCCCCTTTTTCCTGTGATCATCATACATCTGGAACAATTCAACTGATGTTTTATTCATCTGTTCAATATTGAGATGTGCATCAAATCCCTCGGCAAAGCCCTCTCCTTTAGTGTATTCACATAGCTCATGCATGGCCATGATGTGAAGCCTTATCTGACAGCCACAGCAATCAGTAATACCATTTAGTCTAAATAATAATAAAAACATGCTATTGCATATATATTTACACAATTAATGCAAATCTCCAGGAAAACAAAGAACTGTGCTTCAATTGATCAGATAAACATGACATAAAAAGAGGAAAAAGAAAACAATGAATCTGAGGATTAAAAAACATGCACTTGACTAATATGACAAGGGCCCAACTTAAGCTGGTACTAAGGAAAACAGAATCCACAGGAACATGCTTCAGCAAATATAATACACATGGCAATAATTTTAATTCGTCTGTGCATTATTGCCATGAGATTTGTTTTCCAAGAATAAACTTGATCACACCAACAAGCAAGCAATACCATGACTCCAACCAGAAATACTCTATACTAAAACAATCAGAAAAAGCATTATTTAACTTTATATCCATCCAGAGTTAATATGTCATTGACATCACTTGAAGCAAGTGCTAGAAAGATCAGCCCAACATGCTTAGAGAACAGCAACATGAGGCTACAATATCAAAATGCTCCCTAACTTTGACTTCCAATCATATAGATGTAAGTAATTTCCGTGTCTGGTGTCAAGATTTAATTCACTTTCTTCAAGCTCCATACACCTATCTCTAAAATAAAAATTTTTTTTTTTTTAATCCACTAATAAATTTAAACCAAGCCCCTCTAAACAATAGAGTGCAAGACTGCTTGTACACTAACAAGAGATCTTACAGCTAAGCTAACAGGTATCACATCACAAAAACCTAAATATCATACAAACAGAAACTGAAGATTGCGTAAAAAGTATATACCATTTGTTCCAGCATAGTAATAGCTTCTTGGTTAAAAATATGCTGCATCCTCAGGTCCATCCGGATAGCTCGCATCCTATCCCATAGAAAATTGTACAAGCCAAGAAACCTTTCATCATAAGGCTGATCTAGCAAATCGAGCAGATAACCAACCGTCGTCTGCAGGATTGGCATGGGTCGTATTAAATTGGCTTCCCTCTCTGCTGTCCTATTATACTGTGTGCACACAATGCAAAAATATCCATCATGTTTCTTCTCATGAATGAAATACAAGTGACAGTAATTTCTTGAAAGAGGATAAAGGTTTAATTACATTTGAGTTTTTTTAAATACCAGTTCAACAAGAAAATTGATAACAAAATTACCTTCTTAACAGCAAGGGATTTGCTAGTTTGATTTCTATCTCCATCAAAGCGTTCATACCGGTCAAGGTCTCCTTTTCTTTCTCGTTCTGCCCTTTCTGACTCTGAAATACGAGTTAAACATTATAACGACGTCATTTTTAGGATACTTTAAAAGAGGACAGTTAATTTTTAAAGATGTTAAAAGAGAGGATTCAAGTTTAAAGAGTAAGATAGATTGCATTTTCTCTTTTTCCATATTGGTATTATTTATCAGCAACAAATTACATAAACCTTCTCTGCATTCAGATTTTAAAATAACAGGGAAAAGATAAAATAAGTATGAATTCAGGACTACAAAAGTTGCAACAGGAAAATACTCTATTACATGTTGGCTCTTAAGACAAGGAATTCACATACCAGGACACATATCTGGACATAACCCAATAATTATACTGGATGTTTCCAAGCCTTCATATTCAGATAAAGAATTGTCATTCGGATAATCCTTTGCTGATTCTAAAGGAGCCCCAACAACTTTTTGCCTCTCCACAGCAGACTGTTCTCGTCTATTAGTAGAAACTCTTTGATTGGATACATCAGGACTGGTTTGCACATCTTCACTCAGTTCAACCTTGAAACGAGCCAGTCGCTTTGCCTTGGCTTGCATTTCTCTAAATATTCCATGGAATTAGGAAAACAAAGTACAATGGAATCATAACACAACATTATAAAAACCAAGATCCAACAATTTACCGTTCAGTATCGTGTTGAGAGGAATTCAAGTTTCCCTGTAGACCTTCATCAGAAGAATGTGGAGGAGACCTAGTTCTTTTTGAAATGGGTGAGCTGGTGGACCTGGTAGTAACAACACCAGTACTGTTTGCAGATGGCACAGACCTCTGAGAAACTTGAGAATCAGGTGAACTGTGAAAACCATTGAACCTGGTACCAGCCCAAGAGGAGACAGAACATTAGGCAAGAAAATAAGCTCAAAAACATGTAATTAAAAGAATTGGAAAAAGAGAAGGTATAACAGTTCTAAAAATCTGCAATATATACCAATATATATGTAAGTAACCTTTTAGAGTCATTAAGAGCAAACCGAGGGTTTTCCCAGGAAAGTCCATTTGCTGATGGCACATGTGGGGACTTGGTCCTTTTTGGGACTTGCACATTAGGCACTTGCTCCAAATAACTTCTTTCAGAATCATAAGAACCAATATTAGGTGAGGCTCTGGACTGACCTTGATGAGCAACTAAGTTGGGATAATTGCCAAGCAGCTTGGCATGATCACCCCCCATAGGAGAAGATAAAAGAGGTCTGTCAACAAACAATACAACTATCAAAGGATATCACCATGGAAGAAATAACAAAGAATAAAACACACACACACATGTATACAATGAAGCCATAAAATTAAAGCAACAGCAAAAAATCCATTAACATTAATGTCATCATTAGTTACATGATCTCCAGCACAAGAAGGGATGCACTTCCTCGTTATAATTTCAAAGGTACAAGAAATCACACAGAGATAAAGAGGCCACTGCTTGAAAAGATTTGAACAGAAAAGAAGGTTTTCCTCCATCATAAGTGGAGACTTGACACGGTACTGTTTGAGAATAAGTAGGTCTTGGCTTACGGAAAAGTTATTGCAGGCTTGCTCAATTATGGAAAGCTCAAGCCTTCCTTTGAGACACATATTACTAACAAACCAAGCTTTGTAACCCTTGGCTCCACTTGGATGGGCATATAAACACATGGAATCTGTTATTGCTTTAATTACTTTTTCTTTATTTTAAATAATACTAGAGCTTGACAGATGTAGCTTTTTCTATATGAATGTTCAATAAATTCTGCACCAGCCATACCATTAAAAAGGGACCTCAACATACTTGAAAGATGTTACAAGTCTTGATAAAATCCAAATCTTGTCAATTCTCGTAATAAATATGAAAAACCAAGCTAATGTTGGAAAAAGAGGGCCAAGCTAAAGTTAAGCTAGTGAAGCATGAATGTGATCACAGTCCTACTGAACAGAGCCAAGCTTGAGCTCTAGTTTGTATATTGCAACCCATAAGGTACTAAATAGTTAGTATGAGAATTTTTAAGGCTAAGAATCAGTATGAGTATATTAACAGAGAATTGTCGCCTACATACATGCATGCATGCACACAAAGAAACATATAAAGTTGAAACTGAAAACTTACTGTTGACCTTCATCAAAAGAAGGGTGAAAAGCATCAACATAATGATTGCTTTGAAAAGCAGAAGGTGACACCGTTCTCACTGGAGCTAAGGGACTGTGATCATCAACAAACAAATCTGAATGGCTACAAGAGCAAGCAAAAGAAAGCAACAGTCAAAAGGCTAAAAATAAAATGGCGATGCAATTTCAAAAAGCAATACTCTTCTAACAAGTAAATATAGTCTCAAAATAACCGAAAAAGCTTTGACAAAATATTAAAAAGGCCACAAGTGTTAAAGGTTTTGTGTGTGAGAGAGAGGAAGAATATAGATGAATTTCATTCATGCAACGGATCTCCCAAAACAGGAGGAAACTTAAAGTTGATTTCAAAACACAAAATCTCATGTTATTTGATATAGTTCATATAGTTCTGAATTCACATCACAGACATGCACAACATGCATTACTTTGAGAACAGACCAATGCAACTAATTCCAATGATAGTGTAACCATCAACAATAACAAAGGAAAACTAGGGGGCATAATGCAGAGTTCTCAAGTGAAAAAACTGAAAGTTATACAACACAGGAAGATCACTCGACCCAAAAGCTTAAGCTGATACATAAGGTCCTATAGTGATACTTAAGCTTTAAGATGCCTCCTAAGGTGCACCTTCACATGGAATAAACATAACAACAACCAAAAGTCCACACACACAACTGATGAAATATACCTTGAAATAGTATTTAAGCTTTGTAACAATATTAAACATGCTACCTTTGTTATATGAAGAAATAATTTGTGCTATTAAACAGAAAGAATGATAAATTGGGATGAAATATACCTTGAAACCATAGGTTGACTAGATTTTCTCGAAAATTCTTCATCTCCAGACAGTAAAGGAGGTGACCTGGTCCTTTTTAGATCTTGGAATCGGGCAATCTTAGCTGTGGCACTAGTTCCAGAATTACGTGAAGCAACAACTGATGTCACTGCAGAAGGCCTGGGATGAGATGAGGCATCATAATCTTTGAAGAAATATCTTTGCCCATCATCCAATCTACGAGGAGGCTCAATGGATCTGAGAAAACGAGGTATCAGTAAGACATATGTGGTGTAAGAGACTGTTGATCAGAAACACAAAACAACTCTTTTATGATCTAGTTAATGATTGTATGTGCTGAAGTTCAAAAACTACTATTTGGCATATTCATAGTATATTTCATACCAAAAAAATAAAAAAGGTGCAAGGAAAGCAAAGTTTCATCTAGAACTCCAATGGCAGCCAAGAAATACAAAGATGTTGGCTTAGGATACTTGGGGAACAAACGAACAGGAGGTACTTCAATATGGTGTCTGAAGAGCAGTATTTAATCATACAACATGGTGCCACAAGCATATGACCCTAGTGCTTGACATGTGTTGACATGGTTATGTGAAAATATACATTTAAGCGGAGATTGTGTTTTTCTTATCTGTCCTGGGATCTATTAAAAAAGGAAAAAGAAGAAGGTTGTTTTTGGCTCACACTAAGAATCTGGCAGAATTTTCTTGGGTAAATCATGATCTATACTAAACTTTTTGAGCAGCTTATACCTGACTCAAAAACAAGTGCATTCATGCACACACAAATACAAATGTACATATTTTGGGATTTTTAACCAACAGCATCGTGCATGTGTAGGCAAGAAACATGTCAAGTTGCAGTAACACTATACCGACATGAACCAAATGAAACAAGAGCTTTCTAAAAGAAAAGGAAAAGGAAAAAAGACAAAGATAGAAAAATTATACATTTGTCTTGATAGTTACCTACGGACCCCTGCAGATGAGAAAGAAGGAACTGCAACAAGATGAGGGTTTTCAAATGCTGAAGGAGGTGATAGCACTTTCTGTGGAGCCTCGGGTCTTCTGTTACCAGAAGAATACCATAAATATCCATAATCAGCACAAAAAACAGCAGCTTAAAAAAAAACCTAGATAAGTGTAGATTACATGAAATGACCAAATGCCAAATGAGCAGAGGAAGTCTAGTTGTCATTTTGTGAAGGTCACACAACTGCCACTCCTAGGAAAAAGTATGTCAGCTAAGTCATTGAAGTATCTTACTATGTTTTCCTATGTCAAAGGGCAATATTTGTATATCATGTCTTCAATAGCTATTTGGGTATCCACACAGCAGTGATATATGAATTTCAAGTTTGATTCTCCTATGTTTAGTCAAGAACCAAGCAGAAATTCAAAAACCCAAGTAAATCATAAGAATACATCAGTTCCTTGGAGCTCGTAATATAAGAACAAGACTTGCTGACATCTGGTGAGTTTTTTTCTACATCACTTCAAATAGCTAGCTTTCTAAGCAACTAACACATGTATCTTGTCTAATTTTTGCAACAGCAAATCCCCTTGTAAGCAAATGTTAAATTATTGTCATAATCAGAATAAGCTGTTAATTTAAAAAAAAAAAAAAACCCTAGAAATTTTGAAATTGTTCCTCACCTTTCTCTGGAAGTTTGGTAAGGTCTGGCAGTTGGACCTGAGCTCCCAAAAGGCACAGAAGGTGAAGTTGTCCTCTCTATAACTTCAGGTTGCCTATAATCAAAACATCATAATCAAACCAAAAACCCATGATTCTTGATACAAAATATTAAAATTTGCGATTGTGGAAACGGATAACATTCAAATCTTGAATTTAAAAACGAAAAACTTTAACACTTAAAAAAGTCAAAAAACAAAGTTTGAAAATAGTAAGAGAAACGGAAAAAGAAGAAGAAGAAACATAGATTACCTGGGCGATGGAGATGGGGTAAAATTGGGAAAAGGAGAAGTAGAGGAGGGAGGAGGAGGAGTTAAATTTCCGAAAGTGGGAAGGGATTTTGTGGGAACAGAGGGGCCTGACTGCTTTCCAAACCCTGAATAATTATACGCCATTTATGTTTTCTACAGCATTCACGATCTTTCAAGTGCTAAACCTTGTTTGTTTCTTTGAATCGGGAGAGAGAGGGGAGAAGGAAAAGACAGTAATTCTTTTTCTTTTTTAATGCCGGTTTGAAAGTTGAAACGGCATTATTAAACCTTTTCTATTTTTTTATTTCCCTCTTTTTTTTTTTTCTTTTTTTTTCTTTTTTCTTTTTTCTCAGTACTGGAGTCCGTGCTTAGCGAGGTTATGAATCAGAATTTATCAGTATCTCATAAGCTTATCTTACCATAATTTAAGCTTATATTATGCCATAATATGACATTGACACCTATGTTCTCAATATAATGGTAAATAAATTTTATAATATTATAGAAAATACATTATTGAATATTAAATTAGTCTAATCCAAGAGAAGATAATTACTTGATCAACAGTTTAAACTCCTAGTATATATATAAGTTGATGTTATTATTATTTTAGCTTCTATGATCATAATAAACATATTTGTGGTGTGAAATGTGAATTGATTGAACTCTTGTATTAAAATTCTTATGGCAAGGATTACTGAAAATTAAAGCATGTAAATTCAATGTTTTCACATATTTTATATAAGTTAACATATATAACCCCAAGGGGATTGTCCTAACGATCAATGAGGTTTGTTCTCTTCTTTGAGCTATTGAGTTCAATCTTGAGGCACGTCCGTATAGAGATGGGAATGGGCCCGACATTTTCGGGTACTCGGCCCAGCCCAACCCGAAAGGAGCGGGCTTTACCTGAGGTTGGCAAGCTTGGGCTTGGGCCTGGGCTTGATTTTAAAGCTCGACCTCAAGTACGGGTCAGGCATGGGTATATCTTTAGGCCCACCTAGCCCGTCCCCAACAAATTTTAGTATTAATTTTACTAATTTACCCTTATACTATATATTTAATTACAATATTATCCTATATATATATTCATTTTTCCCAAACTCTAACCTCAATTTTCATCACATATTGAAGGTTCAACATATTAAAATTGCCTTTAAATGAGTTTGATGGGTTTGGTTTAACTTATAAAAGTGGATTTCACCATAATATGTTATACATAGCTGAAAAGTTAGTATAATCAAATATTATGAAGTTTCAATTGCTCACTTATTGCTTAAATTATTTGCGGAAATAGCTTCAATTAATATTTAAAAACTATTTCTAAAATTAAAAATATAAAAAAATTTGAAATTTATTAATATTTAAAAATAAACATTATTAAAAAAGTCGGGCTTGGGCCGGGCTTGCGGTTATAAAAAACCTGTCAGGCCGGGCTCGGGCTTTGCCTATCATACCCGTAATGGGCTCGAGCCGGGCTTGGGCCTATGTCATGAGGTCGGGCTTGGGCCTGGGCCAAGGGGTACCCGGTCCCGGCCCGGCCCGGCCCATTGCCATCACTACGTACATATATAGATATGAAGGACAACATGTTCCCACCCAAGGTTTAGCGAAATGACAAGTTCTCACCCCCTAGTTTCATTTATTCTAGATTCCAACCCTTGATTAAACATCGTCAATGACTGTTCAACTAAGAGTGGGAATCTGGAAAACTAACTTGGGCCTTTGGGCTTTGATTTCCCGCGAATGGGAAGTTAAAAAGAGCAAAAAAACATACCCACACAAACCACAACACAAGAAGAGTCTATTGGTATAGTCCGATGATGCTGGTTGCTCTCCGATCGAATAGAAAACAACTGAGAAAAAATTGCAAGGTGGCAAGTGTGGGAGTGGCCGAAAAAGTGAGTGATGATGGCAAGTGAGGGTATGAGTTTTGTAAAGGAAGTTGTGGAGAGTCTAATGGTGGTCTTAGAAATTATTTTGGAGTTCGGGATCGGTCGAAAAAAAGCAAAAAATCGACCGCTTGGGCGATGCTAACATGAGCTGCTTCTTGCTAACATGAGCCCATTTTTAGTCCAAAGACGTATTGGTGCATGTTAGCATGCTAACATGAGCCTCACTACAATAAAAAGTTAAAATTAAGTAAACAGTGTTAATTTAAAGGTGAGAATATGAAATTTATGAAACCAGGGTGGGAGCTTTGCCATTTCGCGAAACTAGGGGTGGGAAAATAATTTCGCTAAACCTTGGGTGGGAACAGTAAGTGTACTCAATATTTAATTGTTAATAAAAAATTATGAATATATTAAACGATTGCCCTAGATTCCGTCTACGTTCATTTTCCAAGGAATCTATAAAATCGTGTACTGAATTTACTGATAGTTACGGGTAACCATGGCTGGAGCTGGTTCTGGTTCTGTGCAGAAATCGGAGGAAGAATGGCGGGCTATCCTCTCCCCGGAGCAGTTCAGGATTATACGCCAGAAAGGAACCGAGTAAGTAGATCTCATCAACTTCAATTGTCCCTTTGCTTCCATTTATTTTATTCTTTATTAACACACATCTATTGAGTTTCATTTGGGTTGAGTACATGGCTTTTCACCATTGATTCATTATTTATTGATTTGGTAGTGAAAAATGCACAATTTAAAGTTTAATTTCATCTATCCATCCTCAATTTCTTCGTTCAGTTTAGTCTTTTTGGTCTTCTTGTTTGTTTTGCTACATCATATTTGGTTTATAGGCTTCCATTGAAGACTTTTTTTTATAAACAATGTACAGGCTGCGAGGAACAGGCGAGTATGACAAGTTCTTTGCTGATGGGGTTTATAATTGTGCGGGTTGCGGAACACCGCTTTACAAGTCTGGTACTAAATTCGACTCTGGCTGTGGCTGGCCTGCTTTCTTTGAGGGTCTTCCTGGAACCATTAATCGCTCTGTAAGTTGCTAATGTATCACAGTTGTTGTTGCTAATGCATGAGGGTGGTTTTGATTGGATTTTTTTAACCCTGAAAGCAATAATTTTTTAGCCTGATCCTGATGGGAGGAGAACTGAGATTACATGTGCGGCCTGTGGAGGGCACTTGGGTCATGTTTTTAAAGGCGAGGGTTTCAAAACACCAACAGATGAACGCCATTGTGTCAACAGTGTTTCTATTAAATTTGTTCCTGCTGATTCCTCTGCTTCTTCTCTATGAAGTTGATTTGATAGAGGTCATGTATTATTAGTTAATAATGTTGATAACCAAAATGATGAGAATATTGAATAAAATGACTATTGTAAGCTTGATTGCAACATTTAGCTCAAATGATCAAGACATGGTATGTTTTGTATTTCTAAAGCTAGGCCGCAATGTTGTTGGCCTGAGCCACAATGAATTTGTAATTTGACTCCTCAAGTTAAGTGGCTTCTATTGGCAATGTTATCGAAGTGTTAAGAGTTTCTTTTTAGCAGGGAGAGGTCACTATACCCTGATAAAAGTATCTAATAGTAAAAACAATGAAAGTGACAAAATGAGCTGTGTGACTCTGTCAAAGCATATCATCACATTTGCATTCTATCATCCATTAGAAAGTAAAGGAAATTGTCTCCAATGAGAGTAAAGAAACAGACTTTCAATCTCCACTTTCGATCTCAAGGGTTAACATAAAGATTATGAATTGCGAATGAGAGGTTAACATAAAGACTATGAATCGCAGATGAGGTGTAACCATGGACAGACTTTCAAATTTCAATCTCCAGGTTTAATGTAAAGACTATGAATTGAAAACGCATTTGCAAAACATGACTGCAGGTCAACTTAAGATCTACAATTTGCTTAGCATCACCTGATAAACATCTTGATCATAAGAGGAACCCCTAAACACCAGTCAAGAATGATTCATGAACAATGAAGTTTTCAAGTAAACCTTAATCCATATAAATCAGGGTGTTCTTTCTTTCTTTTTTCCTAATTGTACAAAACAAAAGAATATAAACAGTATTTTTCTACCAATTATGAGGATTCCACATGTTCCTCCCAGAAAAAAACTCTCCCCTATGTAGGAAAAACACTTTTCTTGTCTTCTTCCATAAATCATATAGATTCAAAAGTTTCATCATAAACACTTAAAGGGGACATCTATCTACATTCTGTAAATGTCCATTGCAAGGCACACAACTCAGTTGAACTCACTGCCTGTGGAGTACAACTGGACCATTTTATCAAAAAGATCAATGACTCTGTGGAGTACAACTGGACCATTTTATCAAAAAGATCAATGACTTGTTGATTTCATGAGAAATCACCGATCTTCAGTCATCCATTGTGATAGAGATAAGTATTTACACACAGAATGAAACAAACAAGCTGTCAGGAGTTTGATAGGAACCCACTCCAATAACTCAACAATTTGGGTTGGGTCATGGGTCTTTCATGGGCTTGGGTAGAACTCTCCTTAAAAAATCAACTTGCCAAAGGAGGGTGTCTAAGCCTTTATAACTCACATGCCCACCCTTTTCCCTTTCAATGTGGGATCCTAACATTCCACCATGCTTCCGCAACCGACGTCCACATCGGTCTCTTTACCCCCGTCGGCTTCTTTACCCCTTGGGTGACTACGCGGATCCCCTTTCCCTCGGGCCTCCACACCCTTTCTTAGGGTAGCAGCCCGGGCCCAAGGTCAGCTTGCCACGGGACAGCCTGCCATGCGTGCGCTGCCACATAGGCGCAGGATCATGCTCTGATACCAATTGATAAACTCAAACCACCAGATTCACGTTTTGACAGAAAAACAAACATACACTCAACGAAACCACTCAGCAAGAAACAGAGATAATAAGTATATTAATTGAAACGAGTTCGTAACACTTGATTGAGACAATAAAACAGAATTGAAATGTGTTTGTAACACTTGATTGCGAATAACAAAACAGAAATAAAAATGGACTCCACACAATGCTGAACTTCGAGGGTCAGCTGCTCCTAATTCTCCATGCTCTACAAGGCCTACTGTTCCCCTTTTATCCTTTGCTCCAGATTCCTTTTGTAACAAATCCAGACACCCGTCATCCTGTCATTGTGCCAACCAGCTGATGCATAACAGATTCATAACAAATTCCTCACACCTGTCACCCTTTCATTGTGCCAGCCCTCAATCCTTCCTTGCTGCCATCTGTCAAGAGTTGGTTGTGCCACTTTGCCACCTGTCCAGTCCTGCCTTTTCCCTTATGCTTGGTTCTGACAAACCATTTGGTTACCGGAGGTCCATCACCAAGACAGACTTATTAACATTCTAATTCTTAAAAATCTGCAGGTTCGGATTTCTTATTTCCATTATTTATTGATTATTATTAGTCAAAAAGAAGTACCACATACAATTATGAAATAGTCACCCTACCCTAGATCAAAAACTTAACCAACAAAATACGAAAAGGATTTAACCAGGAAAGCCATTAACAAGAACTTTTCCTCACTTCAAGTTTACTTGTGATTCAATAAATGTTACACAAATCGTTGACGAATCATCAAAAGGATAAAACTATCTCAGAAAAAGAAAAAAGAAGCTGCATTGTTTCCTGCTGTTAATCAATATCAATAATCATATTCTAACATTAAATTGTGAGGTTAGAACTAAAACTTGGCTTCTAATTTGCATAAATTTCACTTCTCTTTGTCATTCTTCATTCTCTTCTGATTGCACGCCTTCAAAGCTTGAACCTCTGTTGAAAATTTCATCAAAGAACACCATATAGAAATTACTTCAAAACCCAGAACCAAGTCTATTCTTTCAATAAATTTATCAAAATAAAATTTAAAAAAGGCATACCCATTTGGCAAGATTTCCAGTTCCTGTTTTTATTAACAAGACAATCCTGCAAATTATAACAATACACTCTCAGGGTTTAGGGCTTTAGGTCTTTAAAAAATAAAAAATAACTATTTTTTTTTTTTTAATAAATTACCTGTAAAGACAAGTAAAGATAAGAGCATTCTTGAAGCTGCTTCACGTTCTCATCATCTTCATCTGCATCGCTCTGATGTAAAGGTGGTGGGGACGGAACTTGGATTGGATCCGGGTTCAGGTTTGGTGGTGGTTGCTCCATTTTGTCGTCGTTCCGCATGTGGGTTTCGCTTACTCCAGTCATATCCTTGTGACGTGGAATTTTCTTTCGAAAAACCAATGACTTGATAGTTTTTTAATTAAAATTACCTAAAATTCATAAATGCTCTGAAATACTAATATAGTTTGATGTAAAATAAAAGTAGAATATATATTCTATTCTCTTGTTTCAAACAAAATATTTAATTACATTAAATAAAAGGTAATATCCTTTATATGAGAAATAAAAATATAATTTATGTTTTGACAAAATATGACATGATTAATCATAACATCAAATTGATAATATTGTTATAATAATTATACCATAAATGTATCAAACAATGCCATTACATAGACAATATTGATCATAGTACTATAATAAAATAAATAGCCATCAAAATTAAAATTATATTTTCTAAAATAAATATAGTAACTCGTGTGATGTATGGTTATCAAATATGATATCTAGATGAAGTGGCTGTAATTAATTTATAGAAAGAAAAAAAAAACCCAAGTGATATAAATAAAAATAGAAAAAAATACTAATTTCTTCCAATATTATGCTTTTATATTTTATTAAAATAAATCAATGAAATACAAATCACAAACCTAGATTTTATTGACCGTGGTTAGTTTTAGAATTCTAATTCAGCTAACCATAGTTACTTTCTTTGGTTAAGAAATAAATAATAATAAGAATAATAATTGAAAAAAATATATATAGAACTACTAAAAGACTAAAACCAAGGATTTATAAACAGGGTGACAAATGTTCAATCTTATATCAAAAATAAAAAATAATTAAAAAAACTAGAAAAAAAATAAAAATAAAAGGAGAGCTATATATATTTTGTTCTGTTTCTTCGATATTGTGAGATTGGTCTTACCTTAGATTGCTGGAACCAATAGCTCAAAAACGGGTACATCTCGATCGTCCGATTCTGATCATAAATCGGATATCGTCTTACTTAATTAAGGATCCTTATATATGAACAGTGTCTGTACAAATTCTTGTTTGCCTGCTCTTGATGATCTTTCTTGATCTAATGGGTCGATTTTGATTTTAGATTTATGTTCAATTCACAAACTAATATAATACTTTCGTGTTTTTGCTATCTGGGTATGTTGTTTTTGTTTATGCATTGTATATTGAGTTTTTAATTCTGGGTAGCCTTTGTTTTGTTTGTTTGATTTGGTTTTTTCTATGCAGAATTTTGATTCTCATTCTTTCATTGTGAGACTGAGTTATAAAGGTGCGTTCACTTTTTATTTTTTCAATGAAGAATTCATTTCAACAATCTTGTTGTTATGATTTGATTCGTATATATGTTTGGTAGATGATTTTAATGAGAGAGTTTTTGACGCATTTTGATGTTGAATTTTGTTTTTATATTGTGTTGATAGAACATATTGATTGGTATTGAGTGTTGTTGAGAATTGATGAATGAATGAATTATAAGGTCTGATGAGTGTGTTGAAATATATTGTTTTGTGCAGTTTCAAATGACATCATTGGTTGCTAAAGGAAGTAGTAGTGGTAGTTGTCAAGTGTCTCCTCTGATGCCGGTTCAAGAAAAAGGAAGCAGAAACAAGAGGAAGTTTCGAGCTGATCCGCCTTTAGGTGAAACGAATAAGATTATCCCTTCAGCTCAAAATGAGTGCCCGACTTATGAATTCTCTGCGGAGAAATTTGAAATCACCCCGGGTCAAGGACAAGCTAGTGCCTGTGACTTGTGTGGTGTTACACAAGACCATTCTGATGGATTAAAACTAGACCTTGGATTGTCTACTGCCGAAGTTTCGTCTGAGGTTGGTCCAAGCCGATCTAGAGAAGAAATAGAGGCAGACGAGTACCAGGATGCTGATTGGAGTGACCTCACAGAAAGTCAGCTAGAAGAACTTGTTTTGAGCAATTTGGATGCAATTTTCAAGAGTGCAACAAAAAAAATTGTTGCTTGTGGCTACACAGAAGAAGTAGCTACAAAGGCTGTCTTGAGGTCTGGCCTTTGTTATGGTTATAAAGATACCGTTTCAAATATAGTAGATAATACCTTAATGTTCCTTAGAAATGGTCAAGAGATAAATACCTCAAGGGAACACTACTTTGAGGATTTACAGCAGCTGGAGAAGTATATACTGGCAGAACTGGTTTGTGTTCTTCGAGAAGTTAGGCCTTTCTTCAGTACTGGGGATGCAATGTGGTGCTTATTAATTTGTGACATGAATGTCTCGCATGCATGTGCAATGGATGGTGATCCCTTGAGTAGTTTCTCAGGTGATGGAGCTTCAATTGGGAATTCATATGTTTCCACCCAACCCCAGCTAAAAACAGAGGCAAAAAATTCTGAAATGAATCTTCCAAATCCCTGTGAACCAGTTCCTTCAATCTCTAGTTCTCATAGTTCTCAATCTGAGGCACCTGTTGTGGGAGGGGTTCCAAATATAACAAAATCAAAGAATTCCCTTGTTCTCGGTGGACTATCAGAAAAAGAGAGCTCTAATTCCATGTCTGATGCCTCGGATAAAACTTTCAGTGCTGCAGGAACATCTCAATCTCCTGCATTGGAGGAAAAGTTTGTGGATAGTAGAAAGGTACATTCAGGTGGTACCAAGAGAGAATATGTACTTCGTCAGAAGTCTCTTCATTTGGAGAAACACTACCGGACATATGGATCTAAAGGATCTTCAAGAGCTGGGAAACTGAATGGTTTGGGTGGCTTAATCTTAGATAAGAAACTAAAATCCGTGACTGAGAGTACTTCTGTTAACATAAAGAACACTTCCTTAAAAATAAGCAGGGCCATTGAAGTACATCAAGAAAATGGGAACCATAATCCATCTACCAGTCCTGGAACCTCTTCACCTGTAGTGTTTACTGCAGAAAGTTCAAATGCCATTTCTGCATCGCTCAAGACCAGTGTACTATCCACATTCCCTCCAGTTAGTACTTCATCTACTTTACCTTTAGCGAATAACCTGTCTGCATTATCAACTGCTGATACAGAGCTTTCTCTTTCATTGCCTACCAAAAGCAACTCTGCTCAAGTGCTTGTTAGTGCTAATGCTGAGGGACTTAATGGTAGCTATGCTGGTTTACAGTATGATAAGTCTATGGGACAGTGGGTTCCTCAGGACAAGAAGGATGAGCTGATTGTGAAGCTTGTTCCTAGGGTGCGGGAACTGCAGAATCAACTCCATGAATGGACTGAGTGGGCTAATCAGAAGGTTATGCAGGCTGCTCGAAGGCTCAGTAAAGACAAGGCCGAACTTAAGACACTGAGGCAAGAGAAAGAGGAAGTTGAACGACTCAAGAAAGAGAAGCAGATTTTGGAGGAAAGCACTATGAAGAAGCTCTCTGAAATGGAGAATGCTTTGTGTAAGGCCAGTGGGCAAGTGGAGCGTGCTAATTCTGCTGTACGTAGGCTTGAGGTAGAGAATGCTGCCCTGAGAGAAGAGATGGAAGCAGCTAAATTACGTGCAGTAGAGTCAGCTGCAAGCTGTCAGGAAGTATCAAAGAGAGAGAAGAAGACACAAATGAAGTTTCAGTCATGGGAGAAGCAAAAAACTTTGTTCCAAGAGGAGCTTGTGACTGAAAAACGCAAGGTTGCACTGCTGCTACAGGAACTAGAGCAACAGAAAGTTCTCCAGGAACAATTTGAGGTATGCTTCTTAGAAGTTCTATCAATTTTTCTCTTTCTATTCTCCTTTTCTATGTTAAAAGAGACCCACTTTACATATTGTAATTAATCTACCAGCCACTTTCTTAACTTTGCATGCATGTAGATTTGGTAAGACTCAGTGACCAACCATTGCAGGACATCAGGAGCTAGATTACAGATTGACCTGATTGGATACTGTAAAATTTGATTTGTTGCATGTTGTGGATGGCCAATAAAGGTTGTGGCACTGCCCCAGAACAGAATTTGTTGATGGCAGTAAATATCATCCAATTAGTTTGTATCTGCACGAGGAATTTAGGAGTTTCATGTTGAATTTGTATTTCTTTACTGTCTGATCTCTACGTCCTAGGTATCACATGCATTTTATGTGCCACTTGGTCATCATATAGATGCAACATAGTTGGGCTAGTTGCCTAGTCCGATGTAAAGGCAATATGATATGGGAAGTGCCCATGCAGCACTCGAGAGTATAGTCAAATCTGATAGAGAGGTGATGCAGATACTAATAAGTATATATATCAGAGGTTTTCTTTGTTTAACTTGTGCCTAATAATTCAATTTAGACTCGAGTCTTAACATCCAACTTTTGTATAAAGTCAGAGGCTAATTCTGGAAATGTTTTAATTTACAATTTGTTTGCTTTCTCAATCATATATCTGCATTTTCAAACTCCTCCCAAGCATATTCCGCTTTCTTTCTTAATGTTTTAGGACTGTTTTCATTTTTTGGCTAACCAAAAGTCATGTTTGAAGCAAAATTTTGAATCATGTATCAGAAGCCTGATAGTATGATATGAATATGTATGGTACGAACTGTGAATCAGTAGGAAGTGTCAATTTGAAACTGCTCTTTTGCTTTGGAGCTATGATGCTTGCTTGTTCCAACAAAAGTGCCCTTTCCAGTACCAACATGTGCTACTAGTAATTATGGCTTACACTGCTGGGCCTTTACTTATTGAAAAGGAAAAATATCTCAGGCTCGATGGCAAGAGGAACAAAAGGCGAAGGAAGAATTACTTATGCAGGCCAGTTCAATAAGAAAAGAAAGAGAGCAGATTGAGGCTACAGCAAAATCTAAGGAAGATATGATCAAATCTAAAGCAGAAACGAATTTGATGAGGTATAAAGATGATATCCAAAAGCTCGAGAAAGAAATCTCCCAATTGAGATTGAAGACCGACTCTTCAAAAATTGCTGCACTTCGGAGGGGCATTGATGGAAGCTATGCCGGCAGACTTAGCAACATCAGAAATGGCCCAGTAAACAAGGAGTCCCAGACTCCTTTTATCTCAGAAGTTGTGACAAATCTCTATGACTTCTCTGGGACAGGAGGTGTGAAACGTGAACGTGAGTGTGTGATGTGCCTTTCAGAGGAGATGTCAGTAGTTTTTCTTCCATGTGCCCATCAGGTAGTTTGCACAACGTGCAATGAGCTCCATGAGAAACAGGGGATGAAGGATTGTCCTTCTTGTAGGAGTCCTATCCAGCGGCGTATTCCTGTACGTTATGCTCGCTCTTAATAGTAATTGTGTTGAGTTGAGTGTTCTGAATAATGGTTGTCGGACTCCTTTATATGGAATAATGCATCTGAATTACCCCTTTCGAGAGTTAAGACAATTAGTCTTGTCATACATTGCAAGGTTGATGCTTCTGTGTACTTTTTTCCATATTTTTAATGGGCTTTGGCAGTATATATGCTTCAATTTCAATCTTAATATGAGGCAGCTCACAATTTTCCTGGCTCTGTTTGTGTTGTCCATCATATGAAGAATGTTGCTAATGAAAGTTTGCATCATTTATGGCTACAAAACTTTTGTTGCTTCTTAATTTTCATATTAAGCTGCGATACATTCATCTTTGCATCGATTGATATTATGTTCCTGGCATTGGTCATTCTGAATAAGTTTAAATCTTTATAATTTAAAAAAGCCTTTTCAATTTGTGGAAGATACATGGATGGTTGAATTATTGTGGTTGAATGTTGACAAAATATAAAGCATCGTGTCTCTTCTGGGTTATCAAGTGGAAATTAAGAGCAATCCCATTTTAGGAGACTTGTGATTCTGGGTTTACCTTATTTATTTATATGAAAATTAGAGCAAAAATATGGATAAGGAGGGAGAGAGCAGGATTGCAGGTTTTCTCTTGTGTCACATATGGAGCCACGTGGCATGAGCTCTTCTGATTCATAGTATATTCCCACATCAGAGGAATGGCCCCCTACATTTTGGTTATTCATCATTATCTTCATTCCTCACCATTACCATTCAAAATTGAAATCTCTGAACTCTCCTTCAACTTCTTCTCACTTCCAAGTTAAACCCTGCTTCCCTAATGACCATCTTGTCCTCAGAATTTTTAAGTAATTGCTTTCTAAATTTGAAAATAAGAATTTAAAGTATGTGTTAGTTAGCTAAGAGTATTCCAAATATTTTATTGTATTCTTTATCAAGTATTAATTTGATGAATTTTTTTGAAAAAGTATTTATGAGATATCTCTCCAAAATTTATTTGATGGGTTTCTTTTATTCAAATCCATATATTTAGATTAATTTTAATTAAATATTATGAAATAAATAAACAATATTTTTTTTTATTTTTTGTTAATAATATTTAACAATATTTTAGAAATATTAACATTACCTCTTTAGCAAAATAAATGTTGTCACAATGTTAATGGAAATACATTTATAACATTGAAAAATTTATCCTAATCCGATATTTCATGTTACCTGTGATTATACTGACCATTTTTTATCAAGAAGATCAATACTTGTTGATTTCATAAAAATCACCAATCTTCAGTCATCCATGTGCGATAGTGATGAGTATTTACACAGAGAATGAAACAAACAAGCTGTCAGGATCAAGCCAGACTTATTAACATTCTAATTCTTAACAATCTGCAGGTTCGGATTTCTTATTTCCATTGGATTTCTTATTTCCATTATTTATTGATTATTATTGTCAAAAAGAAGTACCACATACAATTATGAAATAGTCACCCTACCCTAGATCAAAACTTAACCAACAAATACGAAAAGGATTTAACCAGGAAAGCCATTAACAGAACTTTTCCTCACTTCAAGTTTACTTGTGATTCAATAAATGTTACAAATCGTTGACGAATCATCAAGGATAAACTATCTCAGAAAAAGAAAAAGAAGCTGCATTGTTTCCTGCTGCTTATCAATATCAATAATCATATTCTAACATTAAATTGTGAGGTTAGAACTAAAACTTGGCTTCTAATTTGCATAAATTTCACTTCTCTTTGTCATTCTTCATTCTCTTCTGATTGCACGCCTTCAAAGCTTGAACCTCTGTTGAAAATTTCATCAAGACACCATATAGAAATTACTTCAAAACCCAGAACCAATTCTATCTTTTCAATAAATTTATCAAAATAAATTTAAAAAGGCATACCCATTTGGCAAGATTTCCAGTTCCTGTTTTTTATTAACAGACAATCCTGCAAATTATACCAAACACTCTCAGGGTTTAGGGCTTTAGGTCTTTAAAAAAAAAAATAACATTTTTTTTTTAATAAATTACCTGTAAAGACAAGTAAAGAAAGAGCATTCTTGAAGCTGCTTCACGTTCTCTCATCTTTCATCTGCATCGCTCTGATGTAAAGTGGTGGGGACGGAACTTGGTTGGATCCGGGTTCAGGTTTGGTGGTGGTTGCTCCATTTTGTCGTCGTTCCGCATGTGTTTCGCTTACTCCAGTCATATCCTTGTGACGTGGAATTTTCTTTCGAAAAACCAATGACTTGATAGTTTTTTTTAATTAAATCCTAAAATTCTAAATGCTCTGAAATACAATATATTTTGATGTAAATAAAAGTAGAATATTATTCTATTCTCTTGTTTCAAACAAATATTTTATTACATTAAATAAAAGGTAATATCCTTTATATGAAAATAAAATATAATTTAGTTTTTGACAAAATATGACATGATTAATCATAACATCAATTGATAATATTGTTATAATAATTATACCATAAATGTATCAAACATGCCATTACATAGACAATATTGATCATAGTACTATAATAAATAAATAGCCATCAAATTAAAATTATATTTTCTAAAATAAATATAGTAACTCGTGTGATGTATGGTTATCAATATGATATCTAGATAGTGGTGTAATTAATTTATAGAAAAAAAAAAACCCAAGTGATATAAATAAAAATAGAAAAAATACTAATTCTTCCAATATTATGCTTTTATATTTTATTAAAAATCAATGAATACAAATCACAAACCTAGATTTTATTGACCGTGGTTAGTTTTAGAATTCTAATTCAGCTAACCATAGTTCCTTTCTTTGGTTAAGAAATAAATATATAGATAATAATTGAAAAATATATATAGAACTACTAAGACTAAAACCAGGATTTATAGACAGGGTGCAAATGTTCAATCTTATATCAAAAATAAAAAATAATTAAAAAAACTAGAAAAAAAAAAAAAGTAGAGCTATATATATTTTGTTCTGTTTCTTCGATATGTGAGATTGGTCTTACCTTAGATTGCTGGAACCAATAGCTCAAAAACGGGTACATCTCGTCTTCCGATTCTGATCATAAATCGGATATCGTCTTCCTTAATTAAGGATCCTATATATGAACAGTGTCTGTACAAATCTTGTTTGCCTCTCTTGAGGCTCTTTCTTGATCTAATGGGTCGATTTTGATTTTAGATTTATGTTCATTCACAACTAATATAATACTTTCGTTTTTTTTGCTATCTGGGTATGTTGTTTTTGTTTATGCATTGTATATTGGTTTTTAATTCTGGGTAGCCTTTGTTTTGTTTGTTTGATTTGGTTTTTTCTATGCAGAATTTTGATTCTCATTCTTTCATTGTGAGACTGAGTTATAAAGGTGCTTTCACTTTTATTTTTCAATGAAGAATTCATTTCAACAATCTTGTTGTTATGATTTGATTCGTATATAGTTTTGGTAGATGATTTTAATGAGAGGGTTTTTGACGCATTTTGATGTTGAATTTTGTTTTTGTATTGTGTTGATAGACATATTGATTGGTATTGAGTGTTGTTGAGAATTGATGAATGAATGAATTATAAGGTCTGGTGAGTGTGTTGAAATATATGTTTTGTGCAGTTTCAAATGACATCATTGGTTGCTAAAGGAAGTATAGTGTAGTTGTCAAGTGTCTCCTCTGATGTCGGTTCAAGAAAAGGAAGCAGAAACAGAGGAAGTTTCGAGCTGATCCGCCTTTGGTGAAACGAATAAGATTATCCCTTCAGCTCAAAATGAGTGCCCGACTTATGAATTCTCTGCGAGAAAATTTGAAATCACCCCGGGTCAAGGACAGCTAGTGCCTGTGACTTGTGTGGTGTTACACAAGACCATTCTGATGGATTAACACTAGACCTTGGATTGTCTACTGCGTTTTCGTCTGAGGTTGGTCCAAGCCGATCTAAAAGAAATAGAGGCAGACGAGTACCAGATGCTGATTGGAGTGACCTCACAGAAAGTCAGCTAAAGAACTTGTTTTGAGCAATTTGGATGCAATTTTCAAGAGTGCAACAAAAAAAATTGTTGCTTGTGGCTACACAGAAGAAGTAGCTACAAGGCTGTCTTGAGGTCTGGCCTTTGTTATGGTTATAAGATACCGTTTCAAATATAGTAGATAATACCTTAATGTTCCTTAGAAATGGTCAAGAGATAATACCTAAGGGAACACTACTTTGAGGATTTACAGCAGCTGGAGAAGTATATACTGGCAGAACTGGTTTGTGTTCTTCGAGAAGTTAGGCCTTTCTTCAGTACTGGGGATGCAATGTGGTGCTTATTAATTTGTGACATGAATGTCTCGCATGCATGTGCAATGGATGGTGATCCCTTGAGTAGTTTCTCGGTGTGGAGCTTCAATTGGAATTCTATGTTTCCACCCAACCCCACTAAAAACAGAGGCAAAAAATTCTGAAATGAATCTTCAATCCCTGTGAACCAGTTCCTTCAATCTCTATTTCTCATATTTCTCAATCTAGGCACCTGTTGTGGAGGGGTTCCAATATAACAAAACAAAGAATTCCCTTGTTCTCGGTGGACTATCAGAAAAAGAGAGCTCTAATTCCATGTCTGATGCTGCGGATAAAACTTTCAGTGCTGCAGGAACATCTCAATCTCCTGCATTGGAGGAAAAGTTTGTGGATAGTGAAAGGTACATTCGGGTACCAAGAGAGAATATGTACTTCGTCAGAAGTCTTCTTCATTTGGAGAAACCCTACCGGACATATGGATCTAAAGGATCTTCAAGAGCTGGGAAACTGAATGGTGGGTGGCTTAATCTTAGATAAGAAACTAAAATCCGTGACTGAAGTACTTCTGTTAACATAAAGAACACTTCCTTAAAAATAGCAGGCCATTGAAGTACATCAAGAAAATGGGAACCATAATCCATCTACCATTCCTGGAACCTCTTCACCTGTAGTGTTTCTGCAGAAAGTTCTAATGCCATTTCTGCATCGCTCAAGACCAGTGTACTATCCACATTCCCTCCAGTTAGTACTCCATCTACTTTACCTTTGCGAATAACCTGTCTGCATTATCAACCTGCTGATACAGAGCTTTCTCTTTCATTGCCTACCAAAGCAACTCTGCTCAATGCTTGTTAGTGCTAATGCTGAGGGACTAATGGTAGCTATGCTGGTTTACAGTATGATAAGTCTATGGGACAGTGGGTCCTCAGGACAAGAAGGATGAGCTGATTGTGAGCTTGTTCCTAGGGTGCGGGACTGCAGAATCAACCCATGAATGGACTGAGTGGGCTAATCAGAAGTTATGCAGGCTGCTCGAAGGCTCAGTAAGACAAGGCCGAACTTAAGACCTGAGGCAAGAGAAAGAGGAAGTTGAACGACTCAAGAAAGAGAAGCAGATTTTGGGAGGAAGCACTATGAAGAAGCTCTCTGAAATGGAGAATGCTTTGTGTAAGGCCAGTGGGCAAGTGGAGCGTGCTAATTCTGCTGTACGTAGGCTTGAGGTAGAGAATGCGCCCTGAGAGAGGGATGGAAGCAGCTAAATTACGTGCAGTAGAGTCAGCTGCAAGCTGTCAGAAGTATCAAGAGAGAGAAGAAGACACAATGAAGTTTCAGTCATGGGAGAAGCAAAAACTTTGTTCCAAGAGGACTTGTGACTGAAAAACGCAAGGTTGCACTGCTGCTACAGGAACTAGAGCAAGAAAGTTCTCCAGGAACAATTTGAGTGATTCTTCTTAGAGTTCTATCATTTTTTCTCTTTCTATTCTCCTTTTCTATGTTAAAAGAGACCCACTTTACATATTGTAATTAATCTACCAGCCACTTTCTTAACTTTGCATGCATGTAGATTTGGTAAGACTCAGTGACCAACCATTGCGGACATCAGGAGCTAGATTACAGATTGACCTGATTGGATACTGTAAATTTGATTTGTTGCATGTTGTGGATGGCCAATAAAGGTTTGGCACTTCCCCAGAACAGATTTGTTGATGGCAGTAAATATCATCCAATTAGTTTGTATCTGCACGGAATTTTAGTTAGTTACGGGTAACCATGGCTGGAGCTGGTTCTGGTTCTGTGCAGAAATCGGAGGAAGAATGGCGGGCTATCCTCTCCCCGGAGCAGTTCAGGATTATGCGCCAGAAAGGAACCGAGTAAGTAGATCTCATCAACTTCAATTGTCCCTTTGCTTCCATTTATTTTATTCTTTATTAACACACATCTGTTGAGTTTCACTTGGGTTGAGTACATGGCTTTTCACCATTGATTCATTATTTATTGATTTGGTAGTGAAAAATGCACAATTTAAAGTTTAATTACATCTATCCATCCTCAATTTCTTCGTTCAGTTTAGTCTTTTTGGTCTTCTTGTTTGTTTTGCTACATCATATTTGGTTTATAGGCTTCCATTGAAGGCTTTTTTTTATAAACAATGTACAGGCTGCGAGGAACAGGCGAGTATGACAAGTTCTTTGCTGATGGGGTTTATAATTGTGCGGGTTGCGGAACACCGCTCTACAAGTCTGGTACTAAATTCGACTCTGGCTGTGGCTGGCCTGCTTTCTTTGAGGGTCTTCCTGGAACCATTAATCGCTCTGTAAGTTGCTAATGTATCACAGTTGTTGTTGCTAATGCATGAGGGTGGTTTTGATTGGATTTTTTTAACCCTGAAAGCAATAATTTTTTAGCCTGATCCTGATGGGAGGAGAACTGAGATTACATGTGCGGCCTGTGGAGGGCACTTGGGTCATGTTTTTAAAGGCGAGGGGTTCAAAACACCAACAGATGAACGCCATTGTGTCAACAGTGTTTCTATTAAATTTGTTCCTGCGGATTCCTCTGCTTCTTCTCTATGAAGTTGATTTGATAGAGGTTATGTATTATTAGTTAATAATGTTGATAACCAAAATGATGAGAATATTGAATAAAATGACTATTGTAAGCTTGATTGCAACATTTAGCTCAAATGATCAAGACATGGTATGTTTTGAATTTCTAAAGCTAGGCCGCAATGTTGTTGGCCTGAGCCACAATGAATTTGTAATTTGATTCCTCTAGTTAAGTGGCTTCTATTGGCAATGTTATCTAAGTGTTAAGAGTTTCTTTTTAGCAGGAAGGGGTCACTATACCCTGATAAAAGTATCCAATAGTAAAAACAATGAAAGTGACAAAATGAGCTTTGTGACTGTGTCAAAGCATATCATCACATTTGCATTCTATCATCCATTTGAAAGTAAAGGAAATTGTCTCCAATGAGAGTAAAGAAACAGTGCCATAGCAGCTATCAATACAAGATATAGAATGGCAGACAAAACCCAGCCCTGCAAAAATCCACTTTCGATCTCAAGGGTTAACTTAAAGACTATGAATTGCGAATGAGAGGTTAACATAAAGACTATGAATCGCAGATGAGGTGTAACCATGGACAGACTTTCAAATTTCAATCTCCAGGTTTAATGTAAAGACTATGAATTGAAAACGCATTTGCAAAACATGACTGCAGGTCAACTTAAGATCTACAATTTGCTTAGCATCACCTGATAAACATCTTGATCATAAGAGGAACCCCTAAACACCAGTCAAGAATGATTCATGAACAATGAAGTTTTCAAGTAAACCTTAATCCATATAAATCAGGGTGTTCTTTCTTTCTTTTTTCCTAATAGTACAAAACAAAAGAATATAAAAAGTATAATTCTACCAATTATGAGGATTCTACATTTTCCTCCCAGAAAAAAACTCTCCCCTACGTAGGAGAAACATTTTTCTTGTCTTCTTCCACAAATCATATAGATTCAAAAGTTTTATCATAAACGCTTAAAAGGGACATCTATCTACATCCTGTAAATGTCCATTACAAGGCACACAACTCAGTTGAACTCACCGNTGTTTTGTTTGTTTGATTTGGTTTTTTCTATGCAGAATTTTGATTCTCATTCTTTCATTGTGAGACTGAGTTATAAAGGTGCGTTCACTTTTTATTTTTTCAATGAAGAATTCATTTCAACAATCTTCTTGTTATGATTTGATTCGTGTATATGTTTGGTAGATGATTTTAATGAGAGAGTTTTTGACGCATTTTGATGTTGAATTTTGTTTTTATATTGTGTTGATAGAACATATTGATTGGTATTGAGTGTTGTTGAGAATTGATGAATGAATGAATTATAAGGTCTGATGAGTGTGTTGAAATATATTGTTTTGTGCAGTTTCAAATGACATCATTGGTTGCTAAAGGAAGTAGTAGTGGTAGTTGTCAAGTGTCTCCTCTGATGCCGGTTCAAGAAAAAGGAAGCAGAAACAAGAGGAAGTTTCGAGCTGATCCGCCTTTAGGTGAAACGAATAAGATTATCCCTTCAGCTCAAAATGAGTGCCCGACTTATGAATTCTCTGCGGAGAAATTTGAAATCACCCCGGGTCAAGGACAAGCTAGTGCCTGTGACTTGTGTGGTGTTACACAAGACCATTCTGATGGATTAAAACTAGACCTTGGATTGTCTACTGCCGAAGTTTCGTCTGAGGTTGGTCCAAGCCGATCTAGAGAAGAAATAGAGGCAGACGAGTACCAGGATGCTGATTGGAGTGACCTCACAGAAAGTCAGCTAGAAGAACTTGTTTTGAGCAATTTGGATGCAATTTTCAAGAGTGCAACAAAAAAAATTGTTGCTTGTGGCTACACAGAAGAAGTAGCTACAAAGGCTGTCTTGAGGTCTGGCCTTTGTTATGGTTATAAAGATACCGTTTCAAATATAGTAGATAATACCTTAATGTTCCTTAGAAATGGTCAAGAGATAAATACCTCAAGGGAACACTACTTTGAGGATTTACAGCAGCTGGAGAAGTATATACTGGCAGAACTGGTTTGTGTTCTTCGAGAAGTTAGGCCTTTCTTCAGTACTGGGGATGCAATGTGGTGCTTATTAATTTGTGACATGAATGTCTCGCATGCATGTGCAATGGATGGTGATCCCTTGAGTAGTTTCTCAGGTGATGGAGCTTCAATTGGGAATTCATATGTTTCCACCCAACCCCAGCTAAAAACAGAGGCAAAAAATTCTGAAATGAATCTTCCAAATCCCTGTGAACCAGTTCCTTCAATCTCTAGTTCTCATAGTTCTCAATCTGAGGCACCTGTTGTGGGAGGGGTTCCAAATATAACAAAATCAAAGAATTCCCTTGTTCTCGGTGGACTATCAGAAAAAGAGAGCTCTAATTCCATGTCTGATGCCTCGGATAAAACTTTCAGTGCTGCAGGAACATCTCAATCTCCTGCATTGGAGGAAAAGTTTGTGGATAGTAGAAAGGTACATTCAGGTGGTACCAAGAGAGAATATGTACTTCGTCAGAAGTCTCTTCATTTGGAGAAACACTACCGGACATATGGATCTAAAGGATCTTCAAGAGCTGGGAAACTGAATGGTTTGGGTGGCTTAATCTTAGATAAGAAACTAAAATCCGTGACTGAGAGTACTTCTGTTAACATAAAGAACACTTCCTTAAAAATAAGCAGGGCCATTGAAGTACATCAAGAAAATGGGAACCATAATCCATCTACCAGTCCTGGAACCTCTTCACCTGTAGTGTTTACTGCAGAAAGTTCAAATGCCATTTCTGCATCGCTCAAGACCAGTGTACTATCCACATTCCCTCCAGTTAGTACTTCATCTACTTTACCTTTAGCGAATAACCTGTCTGCATTATCAACTGCTGATACAGAGCTTTCTCTTTCATTGCCTACCAAAAGCAACTCTGCTCAAGTGCTTGTTAGTGCTAATGCTGAGGGACTTAATGGTAGCTATGCTGGTTTACAGTATGATAAGTCTATGGGACAGTGGGTTCCTCAGGACAAGAAGGATGAGCTGATTGTGAAGCTTGTTCCTAGGGTGCGGGAACTGCAGAATCAACTCCATGAATGGACTGAGTGGGCTAATCAGAAGGTTATGCAGGCTGCTCGAAGGCTCAGTAAAGACAAGGCCGAACTTAAGACACTGAGGCAAGAGAAAGAGGAAGTTGAACGACTCAAGAAAGAGAAGCAGATTTTGGAGGAAAGCACTATGAAGAAGCTCTCTGAAATGGAGAATGCTTTGTGTAAGGCCAGTGGGCAAGTGGAGCGTGCTAATTCTGCTGTACGTAGGCTTGAGGTAGAGAATGCTGCCCTGAGAGAAGAGATGGAAGCAGCTAAATTACGTGCAGTAGAGTCAGCTGCAAGCTGTCAGGAAGTATCAAAGAGAGAGAAGAAGACACAAATGAAGTTTCAGTCATGGGAGAAGCAAAAAACTTTGTTCCAAGAGGAGCTTGTGACTGAAAAACGCAAGGTTGCACTGCTGCTACAGGAACTAGAGCAACAGAAAGTTCTCCAGGAACAATTTGAGGTATGCTTCTTAGAAGTTCTATCAATTTTTCTCTTTCTATTCTCCTTTTCTATGTTAAAAGAGACCCACTTTACATATTGTAATTAATCTACCAGCCACTTTCTTAACTTTGCATGCATGTAGATTTGGTAAGACTCAGTGACCAACCATTGCAGGACATCAGGAGCTAGATTACAGATTGACCTGATTGGATACTGTAAAATTTGATTTGTTGCATGTTGTGGATGGCCAATAAAGGTTGTGGCACTGCCCCAGAACAGAATTTGTTGATGGCAGTAAATATCATCCAATTAGTTTGTATCTGCACGAGGAATTTAGGAGTTTCATGTTGAATTTGTATTTCTTTACTGTCTGATCTCTACGTCCTAGGTATCACATGCATTTTATGTGCCACTTGGTCATCATATAGATGCAACATAGTTGGGCTAGTTGCCTAGTCCGATGTAAAGGCAATATGATATGGGAAGTGCCCATGCAGCACTCGAGAGTATAGTCAAATCTGATAGAGAGGTGATGCAGATACTAATAAGTATATATATCAGAGGTTTTCTTTGTTTAACTTGTGCCTAATAATTCAATTTAGACTCGAGTCTTAACATCCAACTTTTGTATAAAGTAAGAGGCTAATTCTGGAAATGTTTTAGTTTACAATTTGTTTGCTTTCTCAATCATATATCTGCATTTTCAAACTCCTCCCAAGCATATTCCGCATTCTTTCTTAATGTTTTAGGACTGTTTTCATTTTTTGGCTAACCAAAAGTCATGTTTGAAGCAAAATTTTGAATCATGTATCAGAAGCCTGATAGTATGATATGAATATGTATGGTACGAACTGTGAATCAGTAGGAAGTGTCAATTTGAAACTGCTCTTTTGCTTTGGAGCTATGATGCTTGCTTGTTCCAACAAAAGTGCCCTTTCCAGTACCAACATGTGCTACTAGTAATTATGGCTTACACTGCTGGGCCTTTACTTATTGAAAAGGAAAAATATCTCAGGCTCGATGGCAAGAGGAACAAAAGGCGAAGGAAGAATTACTTATGCAGGCCAGTTCAATAAGAAAAGAAAGAGAGCAGATTGAGGCTACAGCAAAATCTAAGGAAGATATGATCAAATCTAAAGCAGAAACGAATTTGATGAGGTATAAAGATGATATCCAAAAGCTCGAGAAAGAAATCTCCCAATTGAGATTGAAGACCGACTCTTCAAAAATTGCTGCACTTCGGAGGGGCATTGATGGAAGCTATGCCGGCAGACTTAGCAACATCAGAAATGGCCCAGTAAACAAGGAGTCCCAGACTCCTTTTATCTCAGAAGTTGTGACAAATCTCTATGACTTCTCTGGGACAGGAGGTGTGAAACGTGAACGTGAGTGTGTGATGTGCCTTTCAGAGGAGATGTCAGTAGTTTTTCTTCCATGTGCCCATCAGGTAGTTTGCACAACGTGCAATGAGCTCCATGAGAAACAGGGGATGAAGGATTGTCCTTCTTGTAGGAGTCCTATCCAGCGGCGTATTCCTGTACGTTATGCTCGCTCTTAATAGTAATTGTGTTGAGTTGAGTGTTCTGAATAATGGTTGTCGGACTCCTTTATATGGAATAATGCATCTGAATTACCCCTTTCGAGAGTTAAGACAATTAGTCTTGTCATACATTGCAAGGTTGATGCTTGTGTGTACTTTTTTCCATATTTTTAATGGGCTTTGGCAGTATATATGCTTCAATTTCAATCTTAATATGAGGCAGCTCACAATTTTCCTGGCTCTGTTTGTGTTGTCCATCATATGAAGAATGTTGCTAATGAAAGTTTGCATCATTTATGGCTACAAAATTTTTGTTGCTTCTTAATTTTCATATTACGCTGAGATACATTCATCTTTGCATCGATTGATATTATGTTCCTGGCATTGGTCATTCTGAATAAGTTTAAATCTTTATAATTTAAAAAAGCCTTTTCAATTTGTGGAAGATACATGGATGGTTGAATTATTGTGGTTGAATGTTGACAAAATATAAAGCATCGTGTCTCTTCTGGGTTATCAAGTGGAAATTAAGAGCAATCCCATTTTAGGAGACTTGTGATTCTGGGTTTACCTTATTTATTTATATGAAAATTAGAGCAAAAATATGGATAAGGAGGGAGAGAGCAGGATTGCAGGTTTTCTCTTGTGTCACATATGGAGCCACGTGGCATGAGCTCTTCTGATTCATAGTATATTCCCACATCAGAGGAATGGCCCCCTACATTTTGGTTATTCATCATTATCTTCATTCCTCACCATTACCATTCAAAATTGAAATCTCTGAACTCTCCTTCAACTTCTTCTCACTTCCAGTTAAACCCTGCTTCCCTAATGACCATCTTGTCCTCAGAATTTTTAAGTAATTGCTTTCTAAATTTGAAAATAAGAATTTAAATTATGTGTTAGTTAACTAAGAGTATTCCAAATATTTTATAGTATTCTTTATCAAGTATTAATTTGATGAATTTTTTTGAAAAAGTATTTATGAGATATCTCTCCAAAATTTATTTGATGGGTTTCTTTTATTCAAATCCATATATTTAGATTAATTTTAATTAAATATTATGAAATAAATAAACAATATTTTTTTTTATTTTTTGTTAATAATATTTAACAATATTTTAGAAATATTAACATTACCTCTTTAGCAAAATAAATGTTGTCACAATGTTAATGGAAATACATTTATAACATTGAAAAATTTATCCTAATCCGATATTTCATGTTATAAACCTCAAGGGAGTGGTTTGATAGTAAAAAGAAGTTTACTTCTTTCATTGATTTCCTGTATTGAAACTCCCTATAAGAGTCTACTTGAGAGTTTTTTTTTTTTTACTGACTTTGAGGGGTTTTTAATTAGACTGATTTTGAGGTGTTCTCAAACCATTACTTGTCAGATTTTTTATATACTAGTTTTTATTGACTCAAAAAGCTCCTAATACCAGTGTAGTGTATTTTTTAGGGGTTTATAAAACACCCTAAATTGGGGTGTTTTGATTGGTTTTAAAATTTTATTCTACAAATACCCTATCCACTATAAAAATATCCCAATTATATCAATAATAATAATAATCATATTATGTACGTCTCCAACTATATTGAATATAAAATCATTTGAAGCAATCATAAAAAAAAAAAATTATTAAAATCTCATTTCTAATTCTAGATGCTTTCTTGGAGAAGTGGAGTTACAATTTTTCAGTCATTCCAAATGACGAAGAAGGATAATAAAGTTTATTACATTTGAAGTTATAAAATACTAATAAGTAAAAAACAAATAAAAAACTCTTATCTTGTAATTAAAAAAACAAAACTCTCAAGTACTGATTAAAATTAGGACATTTTTATATGCATATATGTAAATTTATCATTTTAAAAAACTATCAGAACTGCTAGAACTGAAAAATAAACTTCCAAACATAAGTTGGATATTTTAAAAACTATTATTAAAAATCCCTCAAAACTGTTATAGTGATTTACCCTTATAATTATTATTATAAAACTTTAAAATGATTTTTTAAAGATTTATAAGATGTTTGACAAACCTCAAAATTGAGATGTACAAACTTAAAAACCCCTATATATATATATATATTTGATGTTATAAGAATCCTATTGGTTTCTTCAAAAACGTCACCACCTATCGTGAATGGCAAAATTGAACCGTGTTTTTTAAATTGCGTGCCATTGATTGGTCCCTACTCATCAAATCACCAACTACAGTTAAATCTGCATCTCCACCAACAAGTTTCTTAGCTTCCATTTCCAAAGGGGCAGTTTCGGTAGACTCTCTCAATTTTACCATCATCACTTCGCGCCATTTGTAACTGTAATTTCGACCACTCATCTAACATTTCCTTTTTGTTTGTAAATTATAGAAACAAAAAATGCAAGCGCCCATTTCAGCTTTCTGAATCAATTGACACACGTCTCATCCTTCTTCTCCTCCCACCTTCCAGTTCTTGAGGTACTTACACTTTCATCATCACAAACTAACTTATCATATCATTAACAATTTTATTCATTTTTCTTTCTAACGTGAACTTCTGTTTATTGAATAACTTGGTTAACTTATTATTTTCTTTGTGGATCAAAAGCTCGGACTGGTAAAAAAAATGTCTTCTATCATGAAAGGTATGTTTATAAGAAGTGCACCAGATTTATGTAACCCGAGGCAGTCCTTGAAGGGGAATTATAACAAGTATGTGGATCATGAGAGTGATCCTCTAAGAGAAAACCAGTATTTGTTCCTTCGTTTGAGGCGGGTTGGCAGATTAGGAGTTTTTCCCAGAAAGTATGATCCTCCTCAGCAGCCACCATTACGTGGTCAGTATCGAGCGCAAGCCATCCTCACCCCAGTGTCAGACCCAACGCCTACTACAAAAAAGGTGATACTTCTATAAGGCATATTAGTCATTTCTACTCTGTTATTATTCTTGTATTGCGGGTTCCGAAAAATCAGTTCCGACGGGGTGGTGCATCGGAACTATTACTTAATGAGTCACTCCCGGCAAAAGCTGTGTTACTCCATAGTATCGTACACCGATGCTTGGCCATGCGTGGGGGATCAGTGTCCCCCACAAATCTTGTCAGGAGATTTTCCGGTGCAATCTTCTGCGTCAGAAAAAGTCAGCTGGGACTTAGAATTGTCTTCTGTAGCGGGGGAGAGCTTTATTCATGTGGCGAGGCCTTAACTTTATAAACTTATGACCCATGTTATACACACGCCTTATTATATACGTGCACTTATGGGCAAATTTTAACCGTACTATATGCTTACTAGTGTACTAACTTAAAAAAAATGACATTTGAATTGAGGTGGGAAAATCACTGTTTGGTGAAGAAATAGCCAGTGGCTTATATTATAAAGAATCCCTTCTTCTTTTTAATAGCCTAGGCTGTTTGTAGTACTGTATATATATTTGTTAAAAGAACTGAGGTAACTGTTGATGCCACTGTTAGTTAATAGTAAGTTAATTTATGTGATTTCCAATGTTGCAAACCTGAAAGCTACATAGTTTTTTCTCGTTTGTTTATGCAGCGCGTATTTACTTTTGGTAAAGGAAGGAGTGAAGGCAACAAGAGCATGAAGTCTTTGGTTAGCATTCTTTAATCCTTATTATTGCAGCTACCACTGTGAATGATTGTTAAACGTTAGCATGTTGGAAGCTTTATACAAAATGGAGCTTCTAAATTTTAACTTAAAAGAGTTGATGCTTGTCTGTGTTTTGTCTGGCTTCGAGATGATTGATCAAGATACCCCATCATTTAATTGAATAGCTTATACGTAGTAATACATTTTGTGTACTGTAGTTGGGAGGCAAGGGAGCAAACCTGGCAGAGATGTCAAGCATTGGATTATCTGTGCCTCCTGGACTCACCATATCAACAGAAGCATGCCAAGAGTATCAACAGAATGGGAAGAAACTAACAAAAGGCTTGTGGGAGGAGGTATTGGAAGCTTTAGAGATTGTGGAGAAGGACATGGGAGCCTCCCTTGGTGACCCTACCAAACCTCTTCTCCTCTCTGTTCGCTCTGGCGCTGCGGTAAGACTTGTCAAGTTTAATATTTTCTGAGCAATGTGCCAATGGATCATGAAACCACACTAAACTTTTACGATCTATAATTTCCATTCTGAACAATATTCTGCTAAATTGTATAGAATTATTAATCGTCTAGTCTGTTTATTTATTTTTTTTTTTTTATCTTTGGTATAGATTTCAATGCCTGGGATGATGGACACTGTCCTTAATCTTGGACTAAATGATGAAGTGGCTGCTGCTCTGGCTGAAAAAAGTGGAGAGCGTTTTGCTTATGACTCTTATCGCCGTTTTCTAGATATGTTTGGAGATGTTGTAAGTTGTTTTGTATGACACAATTCATTAGATACGAACATTTCTTGATTTGTAGTGCTTCTCAATTCTCAGCTTCTTTTCCCAATTAATCTGTATAATATAATTATTAGTTCTGTCACCTCTACTTGGTGTTGCTGATTCTTGAATCTGCCGTTTAATTGGAGGTGATGGGCATTCCACACTCATCATTTGAGGAGAAATTAGAAAAGATGAAGGAAACTAAAGGAGTTAAACTTGATACCCAGCTCACGGCAGCTGATCTTAAGGAGCTAGTGAAACAGTACAAAAATGTTTACCTTGAAACTAAGGGTGAAGAGTTTCCTTCAGGTACCAAGAATAACACAGCAACTTGTTTGTATTTTTGTCTCACTCACCATCTTTACTTGAGGCCACTCGTGTTTTTTGTTTTTGTTTTTTTTTTTTTTTTTTTTAGTTTTTTGTGACATAAGTAGCAAAATATTAGCTTATGTGCTTTAATATGTATCAATTTGCAGATCCAAAGAAGCAGTTACAGTTAGCTGTTAAAGCAGTTTTTGAATCTTGGGAAAGCCCGAGGGCGATTAAATATAGGAGCATCAATCAGATTACTGGACTCAAGGGAACTGCGGTGAACATTCAGTGCATGGTGTTTGGAAACATGGGAAACACTTCAGGGACTGGTGTTCTATTCACTAGAAATCCAAGCACTGGTGAAAAGAAGCTCTATGGAGAATTTTTAGTCAATGCTCAGGTCAGATATAATAGAAGTATATTTTTGTTAATGTCATTTCTCTTCTGATGATGTTAAGAGTCTAGCTGATGAATGGATTTGGACAGGGAGAGGATGTAGTTGCTGGAATTAGAACACCAGAAGACTTGAATGCCATGAAAAGTTGCATGCCCGAAGCTTACAAGGAACTTGTTGAGAATTGTGAAATTCTGGAGCGACATTACAAAGATATGATGGTAATTCTTTTGGTTTATTAATGGCTTTTCAATATTAAGTTCGGTACTTTTTTTTATGAAATTCTTATTGTATTTTGTTTTAGTGGCACTTCTCTTCTCTAATCTACACTGAAACAGACAATTTTTTTTTTTTTTTTTAACCAATTTAGAAAAGTATTGCATTTAAGAAAGAAAGAAAGAAGTAAGATGGTCTCTTTGTTTTGGGAAATGCAGGATATTGAATTTACTGTCCAAGAAAATAGACTGTGGATGCTGCAATGCCGATCTGGAAAGCGTACAGGTAAAGGTGCTGTAAAGATAGCTGTAGACATGGTACATGAAGGGCTTGTTGATACTCATGCTGCTATCAAGATGGTGGAACCACAGCATCTTGACCAACTTCTTCATCCACAGGTATATCTACGCACTGCTATCAAAGTAAATACAGAATGTAGCATAGTTTTATTTGTAGAATTGGTCATTGTTGTTGAAGTAACTTGATAACCGACTCCGTTAGATATTGACTTAAGTATCATAGCTGGTAATATATGCTTTGCCTAAGTATCTTGCATACTACATGAACTGTTGTTCTAGGTCATTTCTGTGGTGGTAAATATCACTTTTACTTGTTGAGGTTTAACCGTGCATCTTGCATATGTGTATGTCTTTGTACGTGTATGTTTATGTGATCAAATTTATGTGTAAATCTTAATCTCTTTCTGAAACCATTGAAATTCTGTTTGACTAGTTCGAGAATCCATCTGCTTACAAAGACCAAGTTGTTGCCACGGGGTTGCCTGCATCTCCAGGAGCAGCAGTTGGGCAGGTTGTGTTCAGTGCTGAAGATGCTGAAGCATGGCATGCACAAGGAAAGAGTGTCATCTTGGTATGTGTTCAACAATATATTCATATCGATTTGTTTGTTTTTTCCCTCGAATTTTCTAAACCATTTAAAGTCTTCTCTAATGGTTATAGATGGAATGCTCAAAAGGATAAGGATTGTTTGCTAAGCATCTAAATCTTGTATAAAATCCAGCTTGTCTCAAAATTTTATGCATTATGTCATCCAAGTTTCTTATTACTATTGAAAACTGAACTCCTTGACTACTTCAAATGTATGAAGGTAAGGACAGAGACCAGTCCAGAGGATATTGGGGGTATGCATGCAGCTGCTGGTATCTTGACAGCAAGAGGTGGCATGACATCTCACGCGGCTGTTGTAGCACGTGGATGGGGAAAGTGTTGTGTCTCTGGCTGCGCTGATATTCGTGTAAATGACAATGATAAGGTGGAGTTTTGATTCTTTCTTCTCTTGTATTTTCAGTAAAAGTATATGCTGCAGGTGGAGTTTTGACAATGATAAGGACATAAGGTTACATCATTGATGATGCAGGTTCTTTTGATTGGGGACATGGTGATTAATGAAGGCGAATGGCTTTCACTCAATGGCTCTACAGGTGAAGTGATGCTAGGAAAACAACCACTCTCTCCTCCTGCTCTAAGTGGTGATCTGGAAACTTTCATGTCTTGGGCTGATGAGATAAGGTGTCTCAAGGTACTACATTTCCTTATATGAAAGGCTATATGTTGCGATTATTGTTGCAAATTTCTTGACTAATTAAGCAAATATGATGGCGATATAGGTTATGGCAAATGCTGACACACCTGATGATGCACTAACAGCTAGAAATAATGGTGCCGAGGGGATTGGACTTTGTAGAACAGAGCACATGGTAATTCCTCCATCTATATTTTCTTTGTTGAATAAAATTATATATAGTCGCTAACTAGATAAAAAATTTAATGTTTTTGTAGCTTCCAGTTATATGTTGTAACAGGTAGATGAATTAACCTTTTGATTCGTTCATGTCTTGGGTTCTTTCAGTTCTTTGCTTCAGATGAAAGGATAAAGGCTGTGAGAAAGATGATAATGGCAGTAACAGTTGAACAGAGGAAAGCAGCGTTGAACTTGTTACTTCCCTATCAAAGAACTGATTTTGAGGGAATTTTTCGTGCAATGGATGGTATATTCCTTTTCTTTCCATTTATTCAAGTATATGTAGTTGTCTGACTCGTAGCATTGTAGTAAAGTTTTCTTGGTGCTGATCGTTTCAATATGAGATCTTGTCATTCTATTTTAGGCTTACTTCTCTAATTATGTAATATATACACATTATAATTTCAGGCCTTCCAGTCACAATCCGATTGTTAGACCCTCCACTTCATGAATTTCTACCAGAAGGTGACCTAGAACAGATAGTGAGCCAATTAAGTTCAGAAACTGGCATGAGTGAAGATGAAGTTTTCTCAAGAATTGAGAAATTGTCAGAAGTAAATCCCATGCTTGGTTTCCGAGGCTGCAGGTCTGATTTCCTTCTTATGGGTTTTTTTTTTCCAGCATTTGCTAAAATATCTTTTCTCTGTAACTTTGGCTGCAGATTTATTTTTGGGTTTTCTTTCATCTCTTATTATATTAGAACTATGATATATTATAACATGCTTGACTTCTAATCTCATAACAATATAAACTACATATGCAGTAACAGATGAAAGACATAAATGTTGCGATACGAATGCATCTGCATTTCAATGTCTCTCGCACACAGATCAATCCTTGACTTCAGTGTGTTCATAAATTTATTGATATAGAGCTTTATCTGATGTGTCAACAGGCTAGGAATATCATACCCAGAATTGACAGAGATGCAAGTGCGTGCAATCTTTCAGGCCGCTGTTAATACGAACCGCCAGGGAGTTACTGTTCTTCCTGAAATAATGGTTCCTCTTGTTGGAACGCCTCAGGTTTGAGACTTTTTCTTCTTCTGTTATGGTTGAAATGCAGTAGAAATTGCATGTCTTCCTTTGTTTTTAATTCAAGCAAGAGACCAAATATAGTGTTGCAATTTGCAAACTTAATTCTTTTCCGTAGTTTTTATATTCTTCTACTGATCTTGATTTCCTAAGAAAAAAAAATTGTAGAATTCAAGATTATGCACCAGAAATTTGACATTTCTAACCGGCAGGAATTAGGACATCAAATGAGTTTAATACGAAGTGTTGCGAAGAAAGTGTTCTCTGAGATGGGTTCTTCCTTAAGCTATAAGGTGGGGACTATGATTGAGATCCCTAGAGCTGCTCTGGTGGCAGACGAGGTATATTAAGATGAATTATATCTTTATTGGCTTCAAACATAATATTAATTTGGTTTGTTTATCAGCTAAAAAGAGAAATATATTCTATGCCCCTTGTAAATTCAGTTCTCATTCTTTATCTGAAAACGATAGATTGCAAAGGAAGCAGAGTTCTTCTCCTTCGGGACCAATGACCTCACTCAAATGACATTTGGATACAGCCGAGATGATGTGGGCAAGTTTCTCCCTATATATTTATCCAAAGGCCTTCTGCAACATGATCCATTTGAGGTTAGTAATATCTTTTTCAATCTGAAGGTGTCACTGTAAAGAAAAACGGTTGTTTCAGAGGTTGATATTGCATGAAAAAAGAGTAATATAAAGCGATTGCTTTCAGGTACTTGATCAGAAAGGTGTAGGCCAACTTATCAAGATTGCCACAGAAAGGGGCCGGGCAGCTAGGCCTAGCTTGAAGGTAATTAGATTTCTCTTGGAAGATATGGTTTTGGAACTAATGAAAGTAGGCCAATCTTTTTAGCAATTGTATTGTATAGGACATTTGCTTCAGTTTCATCATAAACTTCGGATGATGATATGATTAAACAGGTGGGAATATGTGGAGAGCATGGAGGAGAACCTTCTTCTGTTGCATTTTTTGCCGAGGCTGGACTTGATTATGTTTCATGTTCTCCATTCAGGTTGGATGCTTCTTCTATATGACTCCATGCTGCTTTCAGAGATTGAATTGGTTTCTAATTTGAGTGCTGTTTACAGGGTTCCTATTGCAAGGTTAGCAGCAGCTCAAGTTGCCGTCTGAATGGTTGATTTTCAGAGAAGCAGCTTCTCTCTGACATTGTTCACCTGTAAATAAATTTATTTAATAGACACATACAAAAGCGGCATATAGAAAAGAGCTGTAAAAGAAATAGAAAGGAACGTTTTATACAGGGTGTAAATAAGGGTCGATCCCTCTTATATACTGGGAAGAGGGTTATCATACTGTATTTTATTCTGATTTATACAGAAATCTCTTCAAAAATCAAAACTTGTTGCAGGGTGAAGACATTGTGTAAAATAAAACGGGCCCTCTGATTTTTGTTCAACTTAATTATCGTTTATGATAGGATTCTTTTATATAATTTTGAAAACATCATTTGTTGATATTATAATAGTATAGCTTATAATTAGCCTAATATTGAATTCTTTTTATAATATTAAATTAATCAAATCCTGGACTAAGGAAAATCACTAAAAAAGCGCTGTCGTTTTTCGTGTGACTAACCGTCACTCGCCCTCCCGCTCTGTTGAAGAGCGAAACCCTAGAAAAACCCTAACGCCTTAAATCTTCTACTCTTCGTGCTCACAACAAAACGTAAAGTAAGAACAATGATAGAAAGCTACGTGGTGGTGCATAACATAGCGAAAAGGCACAACGTGGGGACGTTGGCTCGAAGCGCCACCGCCTTTGGCGTATCAGAAATGATTCTGATTGGGCGCAGAGATTTTAACGCCTTCGGCAGCCACGGCTCCACCTCTCACGTTAACTTTAGACACTTTCACTCCCTCACCGACGCTCGCCAATTCCTAAAGTCCAAGGATTGCGACATTTGTGGAGTCGAAATCACTCACGATGCTGTCGCTGTCAATCAACACCCTTTTAAAAAAAGCACCGCCTTTCTTCTTGGCAATGAGGTATTGGTTTTGTTTATATCCAATCTGCATCATGTTATATTGATTTTTCTGGAATTGAAAATTTTGGGAACTTTGATCTTGGAAAAATGAAGAGACTGTTTTGGGGCTGCTTTCGTTTTTCTATTTTTAATTACAAAAATGAGGAAAACGAAGCTGTTTGCTATAACGTTTTTGAAAAATATTAAAATCGTGTGTTACAGATTTTGCGAAATAAACTAAAAATAAATTTTTAGTGTTTTCAACATTTTTGATAATCATTTCCAGTAGAAGTTGGCGCATCTCATCTATCTATATTATTTTATGTTATATTTTCATATAATTTCCTGTACTTGTCTTTCAAGTTAATTTTTAACATTATCAATTGAAGATATGATGATTGAAAGAATGATCCGGACTTATGGGCTGAGTAAAAGATTAAAATCTGCTAGGCATGTTGATGATTTTTATATTGAATATTGTTTAAAGAAGAAGAACATGTACCCTGCATATTTTAGTTACCTTACATATGTGTTATTTTTTGTAGGGCACAGGCCTTTCTGCTAAAGAATGTGAGATATGTGATTTTTTTGTCTACATTCCCCAATATGGCACTGGCACTGCCTCGTTGAATGTTACCGTTGCTGCTTCTATTGTTTTGCATCATTTTGGAGGTAATTTCCTCGCTATGCCAATGTTTACTTGGAATTTCATACGGGACACACACTTATGTATGCTGGTTCACTAGACTACTGCAGTTGATTTCTGTATGAGAATGACATTCGTAAATAGTTTACCTTTTTGTGTTTATAGGAAATAGTTTTTCGAGTATGAAATTTGTTTCCTAATCTGTTATTCTTTTCAATTCAGTATCACAGATGGTTTTTCATTCTATAAATTTATTTTGGAGACATTTAATCTCAATTTTTTTGGTTTAATGACATATCATTTTTGTCACTTGATTGATCGCTTATAAGCTTTGTCAAATTTTAGATCTTGGCTTTTGTTTATTCTTTCAATTGGTTGCTTCACATCTATCATATTTTGATTTTGAGCATCTTCTTCTCATTGTAAATTGAATTTATTAACTTATACCTGTGCATGGATAAAAAAGTGAGACAATCAACTCTAGCCAAACTAGGGTATCTTATACCAATTTCACACCCGAGCTATGAGATGAGTTTACCCCTGCTATATGTTTGTTCCTGATAAGTTTTGTAGTGCTAATGTTTAAAAGAATTTGCTTAAGTTTAATTAAAAAATCAGATGAACCTACTCCCATATATTTTGTCTGTAGAAACATGTTTTGTATTTACTAAAAGATGTTCTACATAACTTTTGCAACCCCTTAAAACAAAATTTGGAACAAAACTTTTGATGTAGTATAAATCATTTTGTGGGATTGCAACTTGGCCACTTTTCTCACACAATCTATTTCAGTTTGGGCAGGCTTTTCAGAGAGAACTCGTGATGGGAACAAATTTGTTGTAGCTGAAAGACCTGTGAAACAGATGAAACGAAATTACTGCACAGAAACCACAGATACTATAATCGAGGAGCGAAAATCTAGACGGGAAAATGCTTCCAACGGGTTCTTTGATGAGAGTGGAACTGAGGCTTCGTCTTCTAATCTTCTGGATGCAGTTTTTGGTCATGACGAGTGACCGGCCCTGCTACAAAATTTTGGTCATCAACATTGGACGCATTACAACGCAATGGTCTTTATTTTCTCAACTATCCTAAAGAGAGGGGCTAGCAGCTTTGAATAATATCAGTGAGACAGTGGCTATTAAAAGTCCTAGTTACGGAAGTTGCTGCAAGTTTAGCCCAATGAGTGTCTCCTCAAACTGCCATGAGCGGCGCATTGATTTTGCTTGGATTAGCATTTCATGGAAGGTGTAATTGCAATGATCATATTGTTGTATTCTTGTGTATCTGATAATTATATGAAAGTTGATTGATGATTTAAAGCTTTTTTTGACTAGTTCACTGCTCATGTAGATTTCAATTTGAAGATATCAGCAATATGGTTCCAACTCAGCACTAAACACCCATGAACTCACTTTTAAAAGCATGTAACGTATAAACTTAAGAAACTATACTACTCAATTATCATTGAAATTTGACTATGGTGTACCTGCAGTTGGGCTTTCGTTTTGCACAGTAGATCCTATTCCATTAAAGGATACTCTTCTTTATTTTAGTGCTTATCTAATGAACCAATGACGGAGGAAAGAATCCACGACCATGAATGATTACTGCATCTCCAATTGATAGTCAACAAAGCATTTTAAGCTATTATGAAACCTACTTTGGAAATTTTTATCCCAGCTGTTGTTCTGTGCAAAGGCATCTATCTCTATGATAATTTTGTCAATTATAGTCTTTTTGGTAATTATAATGTTGTGGGCTAAAAGAAGTCATGTTTCTCGTTTTAATGTGCGATAGTAGGTTCCGATTAGATATGGTGCAACAATCTTGGTTTCATTGGTAGTAGTTGGTGCAGTTTTTGGCGTGTTAGAAAAGAAGCTCAACAATATTGCCACTTTGTCAAACTCTCCATTTTGGAGCAGTTGGGATGGGATCATTTTTTGTCTCTTGTCTCTACTACTTTTCTCTCTCTATTGACATTGCCAATTTTCGCCCATTTCCTTACTTGTCTCTGTGGGCTAATCTGTCCCCCATATTTGATCTGAACTTCGAGTGGTGAGTGCTAAAGTTTCCCATGTCTTCAAAAAAGATTCAGGAGATCTATTCTAACAGCCGGACGTCTTACATTTTAGGTACCTTCAAAAAGAAACTTTGCAGCATCTGCTCGAGGTTAAGGTGTCTGATATGGAAGCGTCCGAGGACCAAAGTTGTCATCAGGAGATTTGGAAAGACTAACTTGAAAGGTCAGACAAAAAGAGACACCAGTAGCAAGAAGTTCTCTGCTCGTTTGAATGGCCATCTGGGTTATTTAAACTCTAAAATACCAATACGTATTGCCACATTTAATGTTGCCATGTTCTCACTTGCACCTGCCATTTCAACGGCTGAGGAATTAGCTATCTTGGGTAATGAAGAGAAATATGTAGCTTTAAAGAGTGATCAAGTAGAGATCATCAAGAATCAAGCCAAGACTACTAATTATCATCCCAAGAGTATACTGAAGCAATCTCCTTTGCATACTTCTATAACAAGTCCTGACAATCTCTCCAAGCAAAAGAAGCTCTCGAGATCGAAGTTGAAGGTTAAAATTAACCTCCCTGATAATGAGATCTCATTAGCCAACAGTAATGCTCTGATGAGGTCCCCTGTGTGCCTCCCCAGTAGTATGATTACGTGGAGCGACGACAGCTCAAAAAGCAGTAGAAGTATTGCAGAAGTACTTAGAGAGGTGGATGCTGATATTTTGGCCCTGCAAGATGTCAAGGCAGAAGAAGGGAATGGCATGAAGCCTTTATCCGATTTGGCTGCTGCTTTGGGGATGAAGTATGTGTTTGCAGAGAGCTGGGCGCCGGAGTATGGCAATGCCATCTTATCAAAATGGCCAATCAAGACATGGAAAGTTCAGAAGATTGCTGATGATAAAGATTTCAGGTACTTATTCTTCAAAGTCCTCATAAAATTTGCCTGTAATTACAGCGTCAGAGATTCTAAAACTCCATTCTGTTTGATGCAGGAATGTGCTAAAGGCCACAGTTGATGTGCCATGGGCAGGAGAAATAAACTTTGACTGCACCCAACTAGACCATCTCAATGAATATTGGAGAATGAAGCAAATAAGTGCAATAATCCAATCAAGTGACTCTCCCCACATCTTGGCAGGAGGTCTTAATTCTTTAGATGGATCAGATTATTCATTAGAAAGATGGATGGACATTGTCAAGGTAAAGTTTCTACCTCTACACCCTACAAAAACGAATCTTTCTCTCTTCTTCTAACCTTTGTTTCAATGAATTTTCAGTATTATGAGGACATTGGAAAGCCTACCCCAAAGATTGATGTGATGAAGCTTCTCAAAGGAATAGAATATGTAGATGCAAAGGACTCCGCCGGGGAATGTGAGCCAGTAGTCATCATAGCCAAAGGCCAAAGTAAAATACCTTTCTGATCAATACCATATCTGTCATTTTTCTTTAAAATTAGTATATGTATAACAAAATTTGATTGAAATTGAATTTTGGGGACCCAGATGTGCAAGGAACATGCAAATACGGGACGCGTGTAGATTACATTTTGGCGTCTCCAGAATCGCCTTACAAGTTTGTTCCAGGGTCATACTCTGTCATCTCATCCAAAGGGACCTCTGATCACCACATTGTGAAGGTTGATATCACAAAAGCAAGCGAGAGTGGTGGAGAAAATGTGATTAAACAGCAAGGGAAGCCTAAACAAAAGATAGTTAAAATGACAAACCCTTGTTATGCAAGAGGAATATGGAAAGTAAACCCTTGAAATTCGTTCAGAAATTTGCTTACCCACTTGATGTAATTTTGACATGTAAAATATAATTTTGGTAGGCATTCATGTATTGAGATTTGTTGTGTTAAATTAATAAAAGTTTATCTATTAAATTTATATTTGATTAGTCAACAGCACTGAGACTTTTAACTATCTCAGGATCTGCCGGTGCCAGATATAAAGCTAGAGTTATAAGTTAATTGAGTATTTCTTTTTGGTGTGAGTTTTGAAATTCTGAAAAGACGAATGTTGTATACTTGTATTACGTTGGTGTTGGCCCTCCCAATAATAAAGCAGAAACAGGGCCACCATATTTGAAATTGAAATCTTGAAGGGTGTCCATTAAACAAGCCTAAAGCTGTTGAAAATCTTTTAGCTACTGCAAATATGAAGATTGGGTTCACTGAGTTGGGGTTGGTGTTCAAAAAAGGTTTGTATCTCGGCTGGGCCCAACCAGCCTTAATTATGATTCAAGTGATTAGACCTATCTAAACACCGTCAATTAAGTCAAATAGATAAGATGTTATCCTCACATACACACATAAATAGAGTTGATTTTGTCTTTTTAATTTTTTTTTTTTTTTTTTTTTTTATAACCGAGATATCTGGACTAGTTTATACATATTTCAACTAATCCTCGGAACCCATTAAATACTCTATAAATCTAATATTCTAAGTAAACCACAAATGTAGTAGATAGTCTCAATGTTTGAACCCAGAAAATTAATGAAGGGAACAAACCTTCTTGATCATCAGGCTAACCCCTTGGGGTTAATCTTCTTAATTTTTATTTTCCTCTTTTTAGCTATTTTATAAGACCACAGAGTAACTTTGAGTAAAAATACAATAAAACTTTGTATTAATACTTCCAAATTAATTTACAATTTTATTGTACATTTATAATTTCCCATATTATTCTGTAGAAAGTAAATAAGAAATCAATACATTTAAAAAAAAAAAAAATGCAGGAAAAGCAAATTGAATAATATGAGAACCATAATGGATTCTGTCATGAGTCTATCACAACATTTTCTTATGTATTAGATTGCTCAAGCAGCATAATCCTTTTAAATCTAATTACAGTCCTGTGTATTAGATATTAGATTAAGAAATAATTGGGGTAAAAACTGGAAAAAAAATTAGAATATCACAGAATCATTTATATATTTGGTATAGTCAACCATATTTATAATTTACATTGAAGTGATCATCATGGTGGAATAATAATGCCGATTTGAGTTAAAAAATTATAATCATAAAACGACATAGTCAATCTTAGTGATATCAGTAGGTTGGCTGGCTGCCGAGTTATTTAAAAAAAAAAAAAAAAAAAAAAAAGGGGTCAATAACCTGAACGAGATAATTGTAGTTAGAAGTAATAAGATTGAAATTGACATTTAAAGAACAGTTTATCCATCATTTTAATTATAAAATGAAACTAGAATAAATTACACAAGACTTTGGGCATACCTAATCCTAGTGTTTAAAGAGCTTGTCATCCAGCTACAAAAAGAAAGGCATTACCATACCTAAAAGAAAAAGGGATGATTTTCCGATTAATATCGTTAAATATCATTTTCCATGCATCACACAAGAACAGAATATTAATATTATGAAACCATGAAGGCTTTATTAATTAAAATTTTTTAAATACTTAATAAATACATCAAAATGGAAGACATCATAATCTCCTCATTAATCTACAGTTAATTATACTAATTCATCATACAAACTTTTCTTAAAAATAAAAAGCTTACAACAAGCATAAATGCATGCAGCGGAGGATACGAGCAAACTTTTTTCAGGGAATACTTTCATCACGTTAATAATTTCTCCTCCCATCTGAAACTAGAAAGTAAAGCATAGTCACTTGAATTTGAATTGTAATGGTACCCGAATCCATGGCGCTTGTTAGGAAACAAGGCGAATATACAAGAAATACAACCAGCAATAGGAGGAAACCACTTCAACTTCAAGAACGATTTTGTGTCCAAACAAGGATACAAGAAATACCACCGCTGATGGTCACGTTCCGTACTGCGTAACACTTCCTTCTTTATGACTATCAGTAAAGATAGAGAAAACACAAAGAACGCCGCAAATGAAAATGAGAATGGTGGTTAAGGTTTTTTCGGTGGTATGGCAGGAGCCATTGTTTGTTATTAGAGTTGAGGAACAGGTATAGAAAAGCTGTTCCAGTTGGGAGGAGTTTGACGAGATTTGCAAAGGCTTTGAATGTTGTTTCTTTGACCATTTTGCTGCATGTATGGAGTGTATACATGAGGACAGATTAATATTGTGTTTAAACCAAAATTAACACAGGAATCCATGAACTTAATAATAAAATATCTTAGGTGAAAATATCTGGACAATTTATTCATTAATATTTGGCGAATCAGAAAAAATATTTGTATACCACAATAATCTACCATCTTACTCACGGAGGAATAATAAATTCCAATTTGAGTTAAAATAAAAAATGATGAAACCTCTTAATAAGTAAGTTTAGTGAAATGATATCACCAATTGGTTTGCAGCCGCCTATGGAGTTGGTACAAAATTTCTATCAATTACGTAGGCTGGATGAGGTAATTGTAGTAAAAAAAGTATTGAAAACCGCAAGAGAAGGTTTAGTTTATACAAAATGATAAAGATTATTAAATCTTGTTTATTTTAAGTTTATTATATACAGTTAAATCTCTTTACAGTAATACTCTATATTAAATATTGTTTATTTTAAGTTTATTATATACAGTTAAATCTCTTTACAGTAATACTCTATATAGAAATAATTTTCATATAATCATAAAAAATTTTGGTCCTATAAATTAGAATAAACTTCACATTATTATAAATTATAATTTTTTCTAAGTCCCGTATAAAGAAACTTATCTCAACATAGTAATAATTATCTATATATTACAAAAAAAAAATAAAAAAAAATGCTATGTTAGGGTTTAAGATGAAATAAAATATTTATCTAAAGTTGTTCGGAATAATAATTTATGCTATAGAGTTGTTACCATATCGTTTAACTTGCGAGTAAGTAATAACTCGCCAGCATAAATATCTTCTTGTTGGAGCCAAAATACTTCTAAGTTCTCAAGCATGTTTAGAACTTTTTGCTATGAAACTTTTTGTATTTCTGTACTATCATTCTCGAGATTATCTTCTTCCTCTTTTTGTCTAATTGTAGTAACGATTTCCTCTTCAATTAAAGCATGCATGACTTTTTGATTATTTGGATGATCGAGGAATATATTAATATTCATTCGATTAATGCTTACTTTATCTCTATACCACTTGCACTAAGGATAAGTACTAAGTCAAAACAATAAGTTTTGTAACTACAACTTTATTAAGCTATATCCTCCTTAAAGTAATAAAATTATTTGGTCTCACCATTATGACTATAGAGATGTTCTATTGTATATGGAAGTTAATAATCAATACTCGATACAAAACAATATATTAAAAGAATCGAAATTATCATAGAGTTACTATATTCATAGTTCATGAAAATTTATATAAGAAAGGATCTAAATTGTGTCTTTAGAAATTTTGTAACAAGATTTAGTGGCGAATTTTCACCCAAAAATTAGCCTCTTATATAATATGCTCTCCTTTCAACCAGCAAAACTCTTTATACATGATTAATTTAGAAATCAAACAGTGATTGGAGCATCCTGACTTGTTTAATGAGGTGGTCTTTGTATTTTTATATTAAGTAATTGGCATACATCTGATCCTTTGCTACGCAAAAACGCTTCAAAACAATTTTTTTTTTTTCCCTCTGTCGTAGATTAACTAATGCTCACGTAATTGACAAGATTATTAGAGAGTCAATCTCAAAAATATTTTTGAGGGAATTAATAAAAGGCTATAGCGACTATTATTCCAAAAATCTAAATAGAAAATTACTTGTGAAGAGGAGAAAAGGGATATATTATTTATACAATACATAGAAATCCAAAATAATTGAAAATTTGACTCTTAGTTTTATTAGTCGTCTTTGCATAATTGAACAATATATATCTAGCTTCTAGATTTTCTCTAGATTGAATAATGAATATTGTCAGAAACTAAGCTAGGATAAGCAAGAGATGCAATTGGATTGCCGGAGTATGTCAAAGAAGAGAAGAAATATATTGAACATACCTTTGTATATTGAGAATTGTAACTTTACACTCATATCTATTTATACAGTAGCTAATTAGCTAATAAAAGGAAATGTAATCAAAATAATAACTACACACAAATTAGTGGCAATCAATCAATTACAGAGAATCAACAATAAACCTTATTGACATTTTAGTCATGTGCGTGATATCACTGATTGAGAGTAATTGTAGCATTTTATATCACATCACTCCCCCTCAAGCTGGTGGTTTGTAGATATCGAAAACTCCAAACATGTGAAGTAAGTATGAATGCTGATGACCACATAGTGTTTCGTGAAGATGTATACTGGTTGCTCCCAGTGCGAATGTGCATGGTTTTGATCATCACTTCCTGAATTTTTTATCTCAAAAAGTGATTGTCAATCTCTATATGTTTTGTCCTATCATGGAATATAGGATTTGCTATGATATCATTGGTGACTTTGTTGTCACAATATAGGATGACAAGTTTTCCTGTCTAGACTTCCAAATCTTTGAGTAACCCAAGAATCTTGACAATTTCACATGTTTTTGTCATGTCTCTATATTCTGCTTTTGCTAAAGATAGTGGCACCATTGATTGTTTCTTTGTTTTCTAGGAAATAAGAGATCCTCCAATTTTTATATGGAAACCAGTGAGTGATTTTCACTTCATTAGACATGTGCCCCAATTTGAATCACAGTATGCTATGATATCCAAGTTTCCATCTCGTGCTAGAAGAAGTCCGAAGCCAGGACAACCTTTCAAGTATTTGAGCACTTTTATGGCAACATCCATATGAGATTTTTTTGGGTTGTGCATGAACTGACTTAGGATGTGAACAACATATATAGCTTATATCTAGTCGTGTCATAGTGAGATAAATAAATGAGTCTACCCTCAAGTCTCTGATAATAAGATGAATGTTTTAATGGAAGATTTTCTTCTGAGGATGATGTTTCATTATCATACTGTTGAGTTGTGAGTTTGGTGTTTTGTTCAATAGGGATAGCACTCGGTTTTCATTGAAAGTCATTGATTTTT